CGGAAAACTACAAATTTCTTAAGGATGGTCTGATCCAACACCAGAGCATAAGAAGATTGGCTTTCAGCCAATTGGAAAGTTTTTTGGGGAGCTTGGGAGAGAAAGGGGACAATAATTGACTCCAACAGAAAATAAATCGTATAAAATAGGAAAAAAATTAATGGTCTTACCGATATAAGGTCTTGAACAGTTTCAAATGCACTATCGCCAACAAGGTCCAATAAATCGCCAGCTATCTACAGAATACTATAAATGTTACACAAGACATGCAAAACAACACAGATAGGCTTAGAGAAGAATCATTACCAATCCATACCTCTTCACCAGGTTTGTCTGAATCAAGGACCTGACAGATAGCCATTGCCAGGTCCTCTCGTGAAAGTTGTGAAGTACACTCTCCAACTATCCGTTCACAGGCATCTCTTAACCAACTCAAATTGAAGTTTCCACTATCAGCAGTGTCATGATAATTTCTGGGGCCATTTTTATCATGCCATCCTTCAACAAATGAAGAAGAAGGTGGAGTGCTTTCCTCACCAATTAATTCAACATCCTCTAAAGAAACATCAACCAAAAACCGGGCTGGTGCTTTAAAGATGAGGTCAGCTCCAAATTCTGAACCATCATCACTCTCACTTACATGCTTTTCAGAAACAAGCATGACCCCAATGTCTCTTGGTTGAGACTGAGAAAGCTTTTGGGCCAAAGATGACACTTTCTGCACATTAGCATATGAAACTCCATGACCAATAACTTTCTGCAATTCTTCCCTACATTTGAATGCCATTAACTAAAATCACAATTTGAAAATTTACATTAGAATCTTACTATATATCTGATATATTTATCAGAGTCTAATGGGGTATGTTGAAATGCAATCTTCTCTCATCTACTTCCAACAACGAATTGTAGATTCTAGGAAATTAGACCTAACAATGGGACCCTAAAAACCTTTGTCATTATAACTCTTGGAGCGAACAAAACAAAATCCATCTTGAAACAACTCTAAAGTCTCTCTTTAGTGCTTGTTGATGGTTTTGTTTAGGATTTAGCCACCAATTCTTCTATAATCACATGTTCAAACTTAATATATTACATAATGCACATTATATCCTTTTCTAAGCAAAATGAAGCATAGAAAATTAGAAAATTTGATAGAGGTTCCCTACTTATAATAATTTTGACTCTTTTGATAATAGAAATGGGGCAAGGCAATTAGAAACCAAAGCCTTACTTCTTCTCATTCATATTTTTATCAACTTCATCCTCTTCCACTGACCCACTAAAAAGACGGTAAGCAGTCAATGCAACCTCACGAAACTCTTCAGAAGGCACATCTCCATCAATCAGCTCCACCACTGCCCCAATAAACTGTTTGTATACTTGTCTCACTTCTACCGAAGCTGCTTTATAAGTCCCATAAACAAAAAGAACATTATGTTAAACCCTTTCTAATAGAGAAACGCAAAGTTACAATACTGTGATTAAAACATCATAGCACTGACCTTCTTCCCATCGATGAACTATCTTCTTTGCAAGCTCTGACTCATCGAATGGGTTTCCAGAACTAAATTACACAATTAAAAGAACACTGTTAACAAAATTTTGCACAGTAAATTCAATTAATCGATGAAGAGTAAAACTACTGATCGCTAAACTAACACCAAATCATTGGCTTCACACAATTTCAACCTAACAGCAGTTTCCAAAGATCTACTTCAATAGGATTTTTCTATCCAATTCACTTTAACAAACCAAACAACAAGTCTTGAACATTCCATTTTTTCTTCTTCTAAGCAAATAAACAAAGCATTTAAAAAAAAAAGGAGAGTAAATTAAGATAAGAATTTTTTATTTTACTTGGCAGCTTTATTGTGGCTTTGAAGGATGATCTTGCGCTGGAGGTAAGCTTGATCGACGTCGAACGGTTCCCTCAAAGAATTTGTTAACCGAGGAAGCTGAACCAACATTTTTTTTTCTTTTCCACTGTCACGGTTGCCAAAAGCCTGCGTTTCTTGGGAAATTGACTAATGATGCGGTAGAAACTTTATCCAGAGAAAAAGGATGCACTTCTCGTTATGTAAAACGAGGCAGCCGCATTTGGTGATCAAAATCAAAATATTTTAACAGTGTTTCTGGTACTTCAGGCTCAAGGAATCTTGCTGTTTGGGCCTCATGGGTCGGGTGGACCCATGGCACGATATAGTTCAGGTTCAGCAAGTCTGTTGTGCCAAACACGGCCCACTGCAAGATTGATCGAGCCGTGCCAGTCTGCCAGATATGGGCATATATAAATATAAATAAATATATAGATATATATATATATATATATCTTTTTTTTTTTTTTGGTCGTGCTAGAGATTTAGGTTTACTGGGTCGGCACGCGCAACACGGGCTGCTACTAATGGCTAGCCCATATATGACTTATTTCATTGATTTTTTATATTTTTAAATTGTAATTTTAATTGTAAGTATTAGTAATATCTATCAAATATAAATAAGAATTTATTACTTTCAGTAAATAGATTTATTTGATAAATAAAAATTAGTTAAAGTTTACACTAAATTGATTTATTTTTAGAGTTTTAATTTTACATTAATAGTATAACTTATAAACAAGAAATTCTATATTAATGGATAGATTTTGAAAATGGGATAAATTTTACATGCTAATACAAATTTCAATTAATATGTACTTTATTCATTTTAATTATTTGTACAATATGAAACTTTATTTTCAACACAAAAATTATTATTTAAAAATAAATAAAAATATATAATTTTATATTTAATAAATAAGTATTATCTAAAAACATACAAATATTCATATTTAATGCACTTTGACATCAAATATTAATATATGTAAAGGTACAATAGTAAAGAAATTCAATGCAATTTTTATTTTTTTATTTATCAAATAAATTCATTTAATAAATGTTTTCAACCAAAACTTTCAATGAAATATGCATGTTATATATAAATTGGTTAGATGGGGAAATCTAAACACAAGATTAAACATGTGATATGATTGGATTATCGAATGATGACAATGAGAATGATAAATAAAATAATGTGTGTCTTAATCTCTTGATGATTTTTGTTTAATTTAAAAATAAAATATTAGTGATAAATTTTTATATTTTTTGGTGGATTCTTTTTAATATTTCTTCATAGACATAAACATTTTTACTAAATCATGTAAATTATGTATCAGTTAAACTTCATTCTATTTATAATTGTTCATCATATATTATTTTCAATGGTATGTTAAAAATTAAAAAATACAAAAAAATATAGGCAAGGAAAAAAGAAAATTTAATAATAGATCATACAAAAAATGACATTAGTTTTTATTTTAATTGATGGATAGGCACTGGATCCCATAGCCTGAAACTTTCTTTTTCCTCCTTTGGGTTACCGAGTTCGTTTAAGGGAACTCTATACTATTTAGTGACCCAAAAGAAAACCTTGTACCGAATGAGATAATTATCGGATATAATCGATTGACTTTGAACATATATAATATTAAATTAGAGTTATAATTTAATTTTAAATCCGTCTCAAATTTAATTAAATTTTATTTTTTTAATTTGAGTTTGATTTAAGATAAAAATTAAATTATTTAAATTTATTCGATTATGTGAAATTAATATATAAAAATAAGTTTGATTATTATGTTTAACAAAATTTTGATTATTTGTATTTGAATTTAATTTTAAATTTGAGATATTTTATTAATTAAAATATAAAAAATCAATTAAATTAATAAATTATTCGAATAAAATATAAAAAATATTTGAACTCAGTTCAATTAATAAGTAAAATTATTCGAATTCAAATTTGATTCGATAATAATTAATTAAATTTAAATTAAATATAAATAACTTATGAGTATTAATTTATTATTTATGCTTCTAATGGTAAGATTAATGGGAGCAGGCATTCGGCAGTCCAAACTAGGGTTCCTGCTAAATTTGCAATCCATTTGAACCCCAATCATAAAATGCATTTATCAGTTCAGTGCTTCAATCCAACGAATTAAGCTATCAAACGAAGCCTAAATGAGATTAGGATTCTTTGCTATCAAAAACAGGAACACCTTTACTTAGGGTTAACTTTTTCTTTGTTTTATGAACGTACTTTTAAGGCACAGATCACAAAACAATTGCTTTTATTTTAAACTTGATTAAAGTTGTTCTTTTTACAATTGTAGTGAGGAAAATGCACTGGGTTTTTAGATCTATGGTCAAAGATGGTACCTCATAGGCCAAAGTAGTAGCGTTTTTACAGTTCGTAATTTCTTGAAAAGAAAATGGGTAAGATGAAGACAATCTCATACACTAAATCTTGTCATTTCCTTAATGCTGACAACATGATTGCTGCAATCAAAAGGTAAAAATAATGGACTTCGTAATGCCAGCCAAGAGGAAACCAACATGTGGGCACCGTTGCCAACCTGGTCCGTTGAAATAAATCAGGCCATCTCTAGTTATAAGCCCCTCTCTATTGCAAAAATGCAGATTCATAGTGCTGAGTGGTGACTGACAGATGACTCATTTTTCCACTGGCATCATCTCATTTCATTTTTTTACTAAAAAAAAGGGCACATGGTGCAAAATTACTTGAAACTGTTACTTTCTTACCATATATAAATTTCAAAATTGTTCTTTCTTGCCGTTTTTGTGGTTAGCAGGGCAAAAATAAAACTTAATTACTTACATATTTTTTTAAATACGAACAAGGTGATATGATAAAGATGTAGAAAATTTTCATTTATTCTTCATGCTTTTTTAATTTGCCTTCCTAGATGTAATTGAAAAGTAAATATACTAGCAAATTACTCATTTACTAGTATTACAAGATATACTTCAAAAATCATTTATCGTGGTCATCCGCTTATTGATCCTGAAGCCTGATGATGGTTGCGTGTTGGAGAGAATATGAACATGAACAAAACTTGAAAAAGTCTATAGTTCAGCTTAGCTTTGTGGGATCCCACTGTCAACAATTGCTAGTTACTTTTAACAATCAAACAACGGCGCCTCAGAGGAAACGAAAGCTTTACTTTGCTTAGCTCAACTCCCCATGAAACTATTTTTTCTTCCTTTGATAGGAGTTGAACGTTGAAACACACAGACTAATAAAAAAAAAGGGGAAACAAGAAATAAAGTAAGGAACAAAAAAGCACTCCACAAGCCGACAATAAACAAGGCCACCTTCATCCCATCGTCTACATCGCTCTCTTACATGTTTTATTTTTGTTTTATTTTTCTTGTCTAGATATCAACCCCTTTCCCCTCACACTGCCCCAGACTATGTTCATTTCTCTCTCTCAAGTCGCAAGAAACTATTTTTCTGACTGGAGAGCTCCATTGTCATATATCTTCCTGTAGCTTTAGTTTCTCTACTCAGACACACTCTCCCCCAGTACCCTTTCCCTTTACTCTTGAATCATGGCTGCTTTAGTGATTGTAGTGCTCATTTTGGCCATGACTGGCTGCTCAAGTAAGCTCTTGAGATTACATATTTTTCCTGCAAAGCCATTTTGTTTTCTGTTTGTTGATGTTAATCTCCTTTTCTTTCTGGCTTCTATGCTTTTTTTTTTTTGTGCCTAACATTCCTTTTTTCCCTTAGAAAAAAAGAATAAAAAAGTATTCATCTATCCCATGCTGGGTGCATCTTATCCATCATTTTTTTCCCTTTTTCTTAGTCTGAAGAGAACAGTTGCACCCTTTTGTCTCATGTTAATGTTTTCTTTTTCTTCCATTTCCTCTTTAAACAACTGAACTTTTTAATGCAAGCTAAAAGAACTGGATCTTTAAATACCATCATTTAATTTTCATGCCGTTTCCTGGTTGCTTGATTTTCTTGTTTTCCAAACAACACATTAGCTTTCCAGCTCGAGATTTCTCTATTTTTGGTCATCATTAAGCAAAAATAACACCCTTTTGTTAGTTCTTCTCATCTCACTCCCCACCTCATTATTTTTCCCTTTTATTCAAGTTTTCCCTTTCTTGTTTTCATTTTTGTAAAGAGAATATAAATTTTGATTTCGGGGATTTGGACAGGTGCCACATGGTGTGTTTGCAAGGATGGGGTGGCTGATTCAACCTTGCAGAAGACCTTGGACTATGCTTGTGGAGCTGGGGCTGACTGTAACCCTACCCACTCCAACGGGCCTTGTTTCAACCCCAACACTGTTAGGGCTCATTGCAATTATGCTGTTAACAGTTACTTCCAAAGAAAAGGCCAAGCTCAAGGCTCATGTGATTTTTCTGGCACTGCCACTGTTACTGCAACTGACCCTAGTAAATTCCCTTTCCATCCATCTTTAATTTCTGCATTTACATTTCTACCATGGCAGTTAAAAAAAATCCCCAAACTATGCTCATTTTATTATTATTTTTATCTTGGTGATTCGCAGGCTATGCTGGCTGTGCTTATCCATCTAGTGCCAGGTATGCTGGAAGCTTCTAATTGGTTCTTTTTTTTTTTTTTGTTTTAATCTGTTTTGGCTTTATTTGAAATTTGTTAATGGCAAAAGTTTTTTTATGTGCACTTAATCAGAAAAGATTAGGCCCATCCCATTACTGTGTGATAAGAAGGGAAGGGAAGGACCAAGGACTTTAGCATAATAGCTTCCTCTATTATTTAATGTGGTCTGAGGTCCTGGCATCCTTATCACATTAAAATGGAGTGCCACTGCATCTCAATGCTTCATTTGGATGGTCAGTGAAAAATAATTTTTACTGTGCCATCACGTCGTTTTATCCTTGGACTCTCAATTTCAACATTGGACTCTCAATTTCAATGATAAAACAACATGATGACGTGGTGAAAATATTTTTTTCACCGAATATCTTAATGAAGCATAAGACTAATAATTGGGCATTTGGCATTGCCTGCTAAAGAAACAACTTTTAATTGCCTAATTCCTTATGAAGGTGACCAAATGCCTTGTTGAGTGTTAAAAAAAATCTTTATTCAGGTTCCCTTCAGTGAATGGCATCGGTGCAGCAAAAATTCATTTACATCACACTGGAGCCCCATTTGGACCCAAAACATCAATGATACTTGAAGTTTCAATAACATTTTCTGGCCAAATGTTGTTCCAATATGATAAGAATGAACTTCCATTGCTCTGAAGCCATGCACCAAAAGCCCTTAGCGGCATAGTTTAGGATTTAGAATTAAGTTGTTGGCCAAGGAATAAAATAAAATGGGTAATATTATTTCGTCCTACTACTTACAAACAGCATAAAAGTACAATTTCATGAGTATTTCTTTCTTATGAGTTGAGTCATTTGGCATTTTTGTTAGGTAATTTTTCTTCAACGATGATACCACTATCGTTATATAATCACATTTCTATGACACCAACTTGGTAGCAAGTAACTTCATCGAAAAATTATCAGACATGCATGGTGAAATAATATGTGAAATTAACATGAAAATACCGATAGGATCTAGACAACTCGGTTCAAATAATAATAATTTGGGGAAAGTAAAACTCATGTCTAGCAATAAACAACGTAGGTAAAAAAATAAAGAACAAATTTACATGCAAAACCTTTTGGAGTAAAGTAAAAAATCACATAGCAAATCCGAATAAAATCTACTATGAATAATAAGTAAATTAGAATAGTACAATATCTTAATTGTTTTGCCCAAAACTTAAGATTCACAAAAATTGAAATAATATAACAAAGTTATATCTTTGGAAATATGCCCTAAAATCTCTCATAGATTAGATAGAGTATTATGATTCTCTGTGATCAAAATATTCCAATAAATACCTCAAAGAAAATATCCTATCGTTGAATATCTCTATTTCTCTTTTACTTTCTTAGTGGAGCTCGTTCTTTTTACTTTCTTCAGTCCACCAAGCATTTGCCTTATGCTTCGTATTTATAAAGGATGCAAGGCTTCAATGTATTTCTCCAACACTTGACTTCCTGCACCATTGTTTCCTTCTTTTCTTTCTTCCTTATGCCACATGCATTTTTTTTTCTTGTGTCTCTTTTTTCAATGTGTTTCGGTGCAACAAGAAAATTTACTTCTTTTTACAAACTAGATGGCTATTGGCCATCCAAGTCAAATGGCGCTCAACCTCGTATGGACACATCCTCCCCTCATTAGAAAGAGATTAATTTTTAGACTCTTTACTTTGAGTTCATCTCGGTTTGCTTGGTGCAAAACTCAAGAAATGTTAAAGTTGTTGGGCTCACTTAAACAAATGTTTAGAATGGTTTATTAGGGATAAAAAAGTTTTGAAGCTATGATTGCAAAAGGAAAAGTTTGTTGAACAAGTGCTCGAAAGATTAATAGCATGCTAAACCAGTTAGCATTGCTCTTGCCAATCAATTCAAGCTAAGTAAGAAGTCTAGTCTAAGGAAGGAAAAAAGATGATTTATACTCCCTACTTCTCGCAGTTGGTTGTTTGAGGTGTTCAATGGATTGCACACGGGGCTAACATTGCTGCAATTGGTATGGTAAGCATATATCTTTCAATTTCTAAAAGTCTCATTGAAAAACAGTTAAGTGGATCCTAGGATATTTGAGAGTTACTTCTAAATTGTGACTGAGTTTTGGGAACGCACAACCTGTTCTTGAAGGTTTTACAGATGCCAGATATGGTTGGAGACTTGAGAGTAAAAAATCTACTTGGAGTACTTATTTAATTTTCCAGGGGAGCTGTATCTTAGCTATCTAAAATGTGCTTCTTTGTCAACCATAGAGATTGATAATATTGCAGTGATTGAAGCTGAGAAGGAAATGCTTTGAATGAGAAGATTCATTCTTGAAGTATGGCATTTTGTGATTCAGAATGCTTTAGAGTTTCGAAAACACCATGTACGATGCTAGGACAAAGAACATTGATGTTAGGTATCATTAGTTGCTCTATTGATGAATTGCATATGCAATTGAATAAGATCTAGATAAAAATACTATTGATATGTTGACCAAGGTCATTCCCAAAAATCCTTGAGCTTAGGCAAAGCAAGTTAGGATGCACTGCAAGAGTCGAGAAATTAATCTCTTCCTAATAAGGCTCCTAATAAGGCTGGAGGGGAGATTGTTGGTGCACATATGAGGTCCAGTCTCATTTGATTTGGATAATCAATAGCCATCTAGTTTTATAAAAGGAAAGAAAATTTTCTTTTGCACTGAAAAGGAGCCGCAAGAAAAAAAGACAAATAAGAAAGGTGCATGTGATATCGGGAAGAAAGAAAGAACAATGTAGAAAGTTACCTGTTGGAGAAGTGAATTGAAGCTTTGCATTCTTTACAAAATCCAAATATTAGGTAGATGAATGGTGCACTGAAGAAAAAAAAAAGAACGAATTCCATAGAGGGAGAAAAAAGAAATAAAGGTATTCATCTAATATTTTTGTTCAAATGTCCAACAACTTTAATATTCTTGATAAAATGAACATTTGAATATATATTTAATATTTTTTTAAAAATTGTATCCAAATTTAAAAATTTTATGATAGAAGGTGATATCAAGTGTTAAAAGCATTTTGTAATAGTTTTGAAGCAAATTTAGCATGGGTATTATAGTTGGACCACAGGCCATGAAATATTTATATTTTCTTGGCCCACATGCAAATATTTAGTCTAAAGTTTTATCAAAGTTGGACCACTAAGCTTAAGCAAGAACGAAGGTTTAAAGTATGAACAAAAAAAAAAGGATTAGTAATTATAATAATAGTAATAATAGCAGTCTTAAAGCTCATATTGCTTTATGTTATGCTATCTTACTGAGATTCCTGCTGTTAGTGCTTTTGTTTTAGCTTTCCATATTCCTCTTGGGTGCAATGAGCATCCAGCATTCCATTGTAGAAGAGGAGCCAAAAAGGATTGGCTTTACTGTTTTCATTGAGATGCCTTTAAACCCAGAAAATTTATATTCCAATACATGGTCCCAATTTCTTTCACTTTTGATCTCATTCTAAATCAATTCTTTTTGCCATTTTGACCCTTATTTCAACTTCATGGTGATGTGGTGCATTGTAGCTTTTCACTTTCATAAAAGAAGTTGAAATTATTTGCACCAAAAAAAAAAAAAAGTTGAAATTATTGGGATCTAGTGCTCCTTTTACCAAAGGTCAAGTTTGATCAGGAGTGAACAATGTAAAGGGTGCTCATCTTTAGCTCTTTTTTTATTGAAACTTGATAGTGATTTAGGATCAACATTTTATATATATTTTTTACACACTTTTGTTTAGATGTTTTAGAGCAAATTTTTTATTTTTGGTTCTTTGACATTAAAAATTATGAAACATCAATTTTATAAAAAAAAAAAAAAATTGTAATGTTAAATGCACTAAATCAATGCTTTTTAATCATGTAAAAAAAAAAAACGAAAAATTTGAGATTGAAGGAGCAGTATAATTCTATCAAATTCACATTTATAATCAGTCCATAATCTCATCTCAAAATTTCTCTTCTACCTTTGGTCACAAATAAGCAAAAATAATGGAGACTATTTTTAATCACAGTTGATTCTATTTCGTGTGCTGTTATTCTGTTAATGCGAGTAACATGGGATGATACTGCCTTTTAAGGCCATGTCCAAGTTTAAAATTGTGACCACAATTAATGAGTAAAGAATTTGCGTTGGAAGAGTTTTTTGTGGGAGAAAAAACAAAGTGTTACTGCCATTTTCATGGTGGGGGCAATCTCTTTTGGGTTCTTTTTGATTTATGGAACGCAATCTCTAGATACCCTTGAGATGGACAATTTTTTTCTTTGAGATCTGAGCCCAAGTTTTTTAAATTTGAGATTGCCTCGAAGCTTGTGCACCTGCTGTCCTACATTATACTTTTTTTTGGGTGGCTCTTGTCTTCCTACCCTAATTTCATTTGAGCACCCTGCGGCTGTTGTTGTTTACTATTACATTTTTTCCTTTGTTTTTTCATCTCATCTCTTTTCGCATTAAAATTTAAACCTCGGTAAATAGTAAAAATATAGGTTAAAAAAAAATACTAAAATTTTCTTGTTTTTCAAGTGAATTTTTATACTTTTATTGTATATAAATAAACTTTTAATTTTTAAATTAAAAGCTTATTTAAATACAAATTGAAAGTTACGAATTTATTTAAATACAATATAAATATAAGGGTTTATTGAGGAAGTTTAGGGATTCATTTAATATTTTAGCCAAAAACATATCTCAGTATTTACCGTCCCTTTGGAACAAATATCCATCCATTTTCTAAAACTGATTGTTTTTACTTTTCACTCTAAATTATTGTCTGTTCTTAAAAGTGAATTTCATCTAAGTTTGACATAATAGGAGTTTCATTGAAAAAAAAAAAAAAGGTGGATGAGTGTAAATTTACAAAAATGGGCCTCACTTGGACTTCATTTTGGTATATGCTATTGCCTTGTTTTATTCTTAGGAAAAGATCCTAGAATAAGTAATTATTTACAAAGCAGAATCTTGTCTAATAATTTGATTAATAATGATATTTGTAATAGGAAATTGCAAGAAAAAGAGGGTTTGTTTTTTTCATATTTTTCATTTATTTGTATACAACTTTTGTTCATGGCTTGGCAAATGGGGTATAATTCTAAAACTCTGAAGTAAGTTTCCTGTGAAGATATCTGAGTTAATGCTATAATTCATAGATCAAAAAATAACATAGAGCCTTTAGTATTGTAGTTTGTATTCAATTAGCTTTACTTTTCGAACTTTTTATAGCTTAGCCCCAATGTAGTAAAACAAGACACTGTGGTGTGGGAGCATTTTCCAGTGCTGTGAAACTCTAATTGGGAGCTAAATCATCACTGACCTTTTGGGTATCAAGCTGAAATTTACTTGGAGGAAGGGAAAACTATGTGCTCTGATTCAAGGGAGTGAGCAACGAATGGGTTATAAAAAAAGGAAATTCAACCCCCATTAAGCAGAAAGGTGGAAACATGAAATTAAACAAAAAGTAATCTCCTCTTTTTTCAGTCCCATTTGGTGCTCACTTCCTTGGATGCTAGCCCATATTTCTACCTTCCTATAATCCACTTACAAAAAACATCGGTAACCTTGGAATCTGATTGGTTTGGATGTCCAAGCAGATTCTGGCTTTCTAATTTGAAATTACAACTGGTATGAGTGTGATGGTACGTGTTTTACTTGCGTTAAAGTAATTAGTAGTGTGTTGGAGTGTCATAGAACTTGTGTTGCACAAGGAGACAAAAGACAACAAATGCCAACTTAGCATTGTTGGCTATTAGTGAACTGTTTTGGCATGTAGTTTTTCTTGTCTACTTGGCAATTTGGTATGACATTTTTTAAATCAGTTTTGCACCAATTTTCCGCCCAATCAAGCTCCTTCTTAGCCTTGTTCCTTTTTGCTAAGTTTTTGACAATTAATCTAAATTAGATGGATATTTAGACATAATCATTGGAACTTAAGCAAAATTAAATATCATGATAACGCTATAAAATTAGATTTACCAGGGCCCTAGTGGATTAGGTATTCTCATTTGTATATACTGAAGTAACTACATGGCTTGGGTTCAAACCTAGGCTATTATATTTCTAGGTTATATCCTCCATTTTTATCCATGCAAAGTCAGCCAAAAATAAATAATTAAACCCTTTAGCTTCATTCATTCTCTCTTTCTGCCCTACATTGTTTTCAAAGAAATGTCCCAGGTACATTGTTTCAGAAGATCCAAGATGTAAATAATTGTCTCAGCAAAGTTCTAACCAACTTGTCTATTCATGGTTTATGTATCCTGCTTATGAAATATGTCTTGTATGATTTTGTGCTATGTATTGTTAATTGTTACATGATTCATTTCTTTTGGAAAATATTTGGTGACTTGTCTTGTTTTTCTTGAATCAGTACCTCCGGCACCACCACAACACCAACAACGCCAACAACACCAACAACGCCCATCACAACAACTACACCATCAACTACCACACCCTCAACTATGAACCCAAGCACTAACACCCCAACAAGCACAACACCATTCGGTTCAACAACACCAACTGGAGTGTTAGGAGGAGTTGGCACCGGCCTAGGCCCTTCAGGAACAGGGATCAACACAGACTACAGTGATGGGGGATTTAGGCTCCAAGGCTTCCGTTCCTTCACAGCCCTCTTGTTTTCTGGCTTGATGCTATTGTGGGGTTGAAAAAGAAAAACTAGAGAGTGGATGGTGAGTTGTAGTAGTGAGGTTAAGGTCAGTGGTTATGCTGGAGTTTCAATGTGCATAAGTTGGTACCCATGTGGTTCTGCTGTTGTTCATCTAAGGAAATGTCATGAGCATGGAAATGGGGATTTTATTCCTTTTAAAGCATGGTTTTTGTGGTGACGGATGTGGTGTTATCTACCTTTTTTTTCACGTTTTATGTACATCTAGATCTAGAATTCAGTAAATTGTTATTTTGAAGAGAATTTGGCACCAGAAAATCATCCTTAGTTACTTTTAGTAATCGTCAGTAGTACTTCCAGAACTTAGCTATCTTTTATAACTGGTTAGATTTGTCTATTTGTTCTTTGCTCGTATCTGCCTGGCTTGTCATCATGTTTATGTTCTTTTTCATGTTCCTTTTACGACATGCAATGCTTGAATTTTAGAGCAACTTGTTGCTTATGTTAACATCACAAAGATTTGATGCCCTATCATTTCACAGCTATGACTTGTTTGGATGCATGTTGATACACGTCCGGAATGCCCTTTTTTTTATTGTTTTATGATTTGATCCTCCAAATGAAGCGTTAACATCCTAGTAGGATTTAAATTAACGTAAAGTTACCTGTGTAAGATTTCTCTTAAATTTGGAAGTTTTATCGTATAAATAAAGTACCATCATTGCGTTAAGATTTGGTTTGAATTATGAATTTTAACTTGATGTGGAACGTTGGATGGGTTGTCAATTTAACACAATGCAATTAATTATGTGTTAAATTTGCTATTGCTCAATAAATGGTTTGTGAGCCTTCATTTCGCTGCAATCGCTCAATGGTTTCAAGTTTGTAGGTTACTGTCAATTTTCTTGGGTATTTCAGCGTGCTCCGATGCTATGCATGTTATAAATATTTTTTTTATTAACAATGGTGTAAGACTCGAAAATGAACTAAACTTATTATGTTTGTGATTTAATTAATTAATTAATTAATTTTAAAATATTATTCGTAATTATTTATTTATATTTCAAATGTAAATAATCAAATATAAATAAATTATATTATACTTATAATTTACTTATTTAATTAACGAATTTTAAAATATTTTTTACAGTTGTTGATTAAGTTTAATAAACAATAGAGAACAAAACCTATCTAAACTGTTCATTCAATGTTTTATTGTTTACATCAGATTATGTAGTAAAATGATTATTCGAAATTTTTGGACAAATATATAATAAAATTTTTTATATTTAAAATTATTAAAATTTTAATTTTAATTTCAAAAATTAAAATTTCAACATTTTACCGACCTATCGTTGGTGGCAATATGTAGGCCTTTTCACTTTAGGTTTAAGGTAAAAATGTTAAAGAGTTAGGTTAAGATGTCATGTAACAGTTTCACTATTACATGTATTTTTTAAAGAAAAATATTCGAATTTTTTTTCTTTTCAAAAGAAAAAAATTTTATCCTCATCATGGTCGCAGACTCGCAGCTCTACTTATTCTTAGCCTCTCCTCGTTGAAGTAAAACTTTTTTCCTTTTGTTTCCCTCCATGTTCATTTTCCTTTTTTACAGCGAAGCAAACTCGCTTTCCTTCTTTGCCGCAGCCATTGACGAGCCCACTGAACAATTTTTCCTTTGAATACACTTCATTCAAGAATGACCCACATGGTAGAAACCCTTACTTTTTTTAAATCTAGTTTCTTCTCTTTTTTGTTTTATACTACTATTAATCAATTTTTTTACTGCTTTGTTTTCACTGTTCATGGTTTGGTTGTTTCCATTTTTGCTTCGTGAGAATGGATCACGTTTTGAAAATTAGTATATGTTTTTCAAATCTGCACTTAAAATGGAAACTTTTCATAAAAAGAAGGTTAGGGTTTAATGTTTATTGGAAGGAAGGGGGTTGGTTACCTTTCTTGGGAAAGAAGTATTCACCATAGTCATTCAAGCAAAGCTCACATGGCTCCCTCTCTATGAAAATATGACTAGTGACCAAAATTGTTGTGGACTTGATAAGGGATCGAACAGTTTCTATTTTTTTTGGCAATCCTTCATAAGCATCGGCTCAAACTTTTCTTCAAGAAATAGGAAAAAAAAAAACAAGTTTGACTGGACCAAGATTTTGATTTGTGGATTATGAGGAAGATCAGTTAGTCCCACTTGTTGATTTTGATATATTTTGATTGTTCTCCCTGATTTACTCATTACCGCTGTTATAGTTGAAAACTTGAAATCAAAGATTAGAATGAAGTTTTAAGATGATAAGAGTTTGTCATTTCATTAAAAACGCATTTATTGCTGTTCATGTCTCATGCTAGTATGTTGTGGAATCTATTAGAAAACAAGAGTTAGCATATGTGGTTTACTAGTTTATTGTTGTTTGCAGATTAAGTCCTTGTAAAAATTACTTCACATTCAGGGAAAGTAGTGTTAGTTTAGGTGATAGACAGAGTCATTTCCTGTGGTTCAATTTTCGTCTTTTTCCATTACTAAACTTTAAACTTTGCTCTGATTCTTTGCTCACTTAGCTTGAAATGTATTGGCGTCGTATTCTCTTGATCTTGCTATCTAGGTCTAAGTTTGGGGAATGTCAAAATCTTTCTTTCTATTTGTAAAAATTTCGAAGTATATTGTATTGTTAATGTCATCAAATGACTGTGTGTGTACAATGACTACTGACCACTAAAAGCTAACTGAATCATGGTTGCTGCAAATTTAGTTGAATGAAGTTGTTCAGTGATATTCAAATTTAATTCTTGTATTTTTGAAGCAGATACGGAACTATTTGCTTATTACCAGCACTTACTTTTGCAGGGTGAACCTTGTGATATATGTGGTGATGTTGGTTTTGAAGAGGACATTGCTACTTGCTTTAAGTGCAAAATAGCTCGGGAACATGGGTATTATTGCTTTTCTCCATTGCCTCCTGCTTTGTTTTGTTAAAATTCTTAGTTTTCAGGTTTTTTTTTTCTGCTTCTAGTTATCATTTTTATCATTTAACTTTTTGAACATTATCTATAACCTATGATGAAAGGTAGGAGAAGAAAGAAGATAACTTTATATTATTGTTGTTTGCTTTGTGTAAGTTATCATAGGCTTCATAGCTATTATTACACAAACCTTTTATCTTTATGAGAGGGAGTAAGATCTCCAAGTTATGAAGTTTTATAATTTTTATTATACTTGGTTTAGGTCCGAATACATTATGGTTGCCAGCTGTTTGATAAGAGTTCTCTCATCTTGACCAGCATGGTTATATAACTAATCATTTTGATTTGATAGTGTTTGTTATGTTTATTCTAATAGTGAATCATTTTTTTAACATCAATGTTAAAAACTTACTCTTTCTTTCCATTTTTAGCTACTGCATGCAAAAAGTGCTTTTGACAATTCCAGAAATTTGGTTTTGTGAGGAATGTCAATCGAGCATTGGCATAGCTTCACCAAAATCTGTTACAGCAGAACATGTTCCTATGTCTTTGACATCGAATGCCTCTGGGACTGAGAGTATCAGTTGGTTTGTTAAAAATTCAAGGGGAGCATGTAATCTTGCTTCAACATCAAAGGCCTTTGAGACTGTGAATCCCAGCAGGTTTCTTAAGAATCAAGGGATTGCAGGTTATGGTGGTATGAAAATGGCTGTTGAAACTGGAAAAGTGAAGTTCATTTCCACTGAGGAAGCGATTAAGATACCATCTGTCACTCACAAATTGAAAAATTCACTGAGGAATGCAGATTCAATTCCTGGCCAGTCAGCTACTATTGCAACCATGCCTAAGAGTGGCCCAACTGGGTTTAAAGATGCTCACTCCGTAAAGAAAGTGAAAGCAGATCATGATCTTAGAGACATAGGGCATTCTAGATCACATGGATATTACAATGCAGGGTTCAGTTCATGTACTCAGCAAAATTCATTTCAAATGTCAGGACAATTTCAAGGTGACAAAGCTCTTTTCCTTGCGTGAATTAGGGATTAAATTGCTGGGAGAAAAAAGATAAGTGAATTGGCTTATATATTTTGCTTTGGTCTTTTGCGTCGTTTATTAATGCTTTCAAATTTCAAACTGCATTAAGGCATATTGCACATATACGGTCTGAGTTGAAGTTTGGACTGAAAAAGCAATGCATGGAGTTGACATTTCATTGCATTAATTGCAAATTAATGTCTCTTATGATTGTTTCCTGAATATATACTTCTTTCGATTATTATGTTTTTAATAGTCCTTTAGTTAACTAATTGTCATCATTTGGCTGCTCTCATTATTTCTGCTTCAGGTAAGAAAACATCTCCGTGTAAGAATGAGCAGCAGAATGCCCTCATTCCTGTTGAAAGGATTGGAAACTCAAATTTACCGGTAGAGAACGGTGCTGAGTCTACAGACTCACAGTCAGTTGATGTTCTACCTATTGTTTGCTCAGGCAAGTAACTTTCCAACATATTCTGAATTTGACCTTTTTATCATCTATTTATGGTATTCTTCTTTGATTATTTGGTTTTAGTCACTGATTGGAGAAGCTGGTGTTTGTCCAGTTAAACCTGTGAGCATGGCTATTTTGGAGAGCAATCTGTTGAATATCGGGCCCAACCTTGTGAAATCCTTTCCAAATTACCCTACTCCTGATCCTACATGGTGGTGAGTAGCCTACCAATTAATCTTGTCCCATGATCATTTGTGTATAAGTACGAGGATATACCATAAGTGATAGCCATGAAAAATTAAAAGCTCTAGTTTATCATAGAAGTTACTGCACATGAAGAAATCATGATGTGACATCAATAGGAAAACCTCATCATTTGTACAGCCAAAAATATCCTATGTTCCCCATATATTATAAGCAAGGACATACATGTAATAGACACATTAAGCATAAAATTTTGTATGATGTACATGCTTTTCAAAGCTAATATTCAGTGGATCTTTTTCCTAAAATAATGAGACATTTGATTTTGTATAACAGGATCAACCTGGTTTGTGAATGTCCTGATTAATTTACTTTTCTATCCACTTCTTTTGTAGTGGTAGCTTTGAGATTCTCAATTCAGTTTCTCATAGTGAATTTTTTGATGGATTTCGGGCTCATCCTCCTGGTAAAGTCCATCATAAGGCTTTAGAATTTTCAAAGCAAATGCCTGGAGTGCTATTATGTACGCTGCTACCTGGTTCTGATGTTTGGATGGATGTTTTTCATGATGAATGTCCAAATATGGAGGATGTTGCTCTGTATTTTTTCCCTGGTAATTTCGAGAGGTATAATTCATGATCCTACTTTTGGTTTCTTTGTATCTAGTTATGTATATGGTGGCATGTTTTATAAATGCTTCTTTCATCATAGGTCTAAGCAGCAGTATATTCACCTATTGGGTCGCATGGAGGCTCAAGATCTGGTACTAAGGAGCTGCATTGATGGCGTAGAACTGCTGATTTTCTCATCTACAAGGTTGCATGCAGAATTATGTGGTAAGCTCCATGAATTCTGAACATACATACATACAAAGGCATGCACATCAGCGGGATGATTGTGTTATTTGGATAAATGAGCTTCTGTTGGCTCTCTCTTTTTCTGTCTCTCTCTTTAAAGTTGGTTTGAAAACTTCCATGATGTGAAATTTTTAATTTATGATTTATTTTATCCTGATATAATCAACTTGCTTGCATGCCAATAACGCCTTTCCTTACATCACTAATGTTGTATGAAATTGCCTTAATTGACTTAATGAAACTGAAGACGTAAAACCATAGAATGAGAAGGGGAATAGAAATGATAATATTAAAGATTTTTACTATAATTAACTATTACAGTTTGCAAGAAGCTTTTGCATTGATTATGTTGCATTTATGAGCACAATAAATCCATGTTGGTTGTTTATATATAGATGACATGAAATTGATGGCCCTGAATGTTGGTTGTAGATTCAAAACAAAATTTCTTATGGGGAGTATGCCGCCGTTCAAGAAGTATGACATTTCCTCTGCTTCCTTTCAATGATATGAAATCTCTAGAATGCACACAAAATTTTGATGTCAAGATCAACGTTGAGAAGTATTTACCAAAGGTCAAAACAGAGCAGTTTGATGGCCTTGACGATTCTCCTATGTTTTCTAAAAAAGCTGCTGGTGGTGGTGCTGCTCTGCAGTAGTTGAGAAACTGGTCAACAAGTTTAATGAAGGGAATGGTATGATCACCGTATTGATTTAGGCCATTATCATTTTTTTTAGTAAGAACTGAGAACTTAGGTTATTAGTTGATTGCAACAGAAATTTTTTCTTTAACCACCATAGTGCCTTCTAAAATAGTTGAAGTAGTTGTTCATACCACATGATATGCAAGTGACTAACTCTGATTGAAGGTGGCAAGGCTTTATGAAATAGATAAATAGAACAGAACTATGTGACAAATGACAATATTATAAGCTGCAAAACTGTTTTAGAAGAATAGAAATTGTATCTCTACTACAGGCACAGCCTCTACGAGGTACTACTTGATGCATCTTATTAAACGATGTAGATGTTTTTTTTATTGTTGTTTGAGACCAACCTATAGCATGGCTGGCCATGCAGCAACTTGACACATTTGGGTTCAGTTTCTTTTTGAAAAGCTAAACTGTTTTGGCCTTCGGAGTTCATTGGGACCAAGGGTTCATCTTCTTATTTGACGTTGTCTCATGACTTGGCTGTTTCCATGGAACCGGCTTCGGCTAGTCACTATTTCATTGACCTTGTTAATCGTTCATATAAAGCTATTGAAATCATAGTTCAATGAACTAACAATCTTCTATAAATGCAGTTGCAGGTTTTCGTTTGACAGAACTGATGCAGAAATATGAGTGAATGTCTGCTTGGGAATTTTGCATGCAGGACTTCAATTGAAGCAATTAGGATACTTGCAGCCGATTCTAATTATGACAAAAAGAAGTGTAAATAGATTTTTTGGACAATTTGGAAGAACTTTGGTTGGTACTTCTATTTATTTTTTTAATAAAAAGTTAAGAAATAGAAAAAAAAAACTAAAATCAAGAGAAATAGTAAAAATATAAAAATCGAAAGTATCAATTAAATAGAGTTTAAATATAAATTATTTGTATTAATGAATTGTTAATTTAATAATATTATTCAAAATTGAAAATCTCAAATATAAATCTTAATCGTAAAACTTAAAAAGACTAGGGAAAAACAATTTGTTTACTATTTATACATTCAGATTTAGAATTTTTATTTTTTTAATGGCATTAAAGATGATTTAAAGTTCTAATAGATTTACTCAAATATTTTTGCACCCACATATGCATTAATTTTTTAGGTTACGTTTGGATGGGCAGTAATTGAATTTTTTTTTTTTCTATTTTCAAGGCTGTGTGATTGGAAAATGAGAAACCTAACAATGTTGAACTTGAGCCCTTTGTTCCTACAGCAGTAAGTCGTCGTTCATGTAAACATGGACCAAGTCTGTGTGACATTGATTAACGAAGCTTTGTCTAAATTAAAATCTATAACTTTCTACTTGCTTTTGAAATAAATTTAAATTTTAAAATTTTTAATTTGAATAAAAAGATTATTATTTTAATAAAAAAATTCTTAAAATTTACAAAGTAAATTGAAACTATTTAAATTTTGCACCTTTGAAATTAGTGATAATCAAAATTTGATTAAGATTTTATGATTGTGATTAATCATGTCAAAATTTTATGATAATTTCCATAAAATCGAGTCGGTAAAATCAAAACTCGAGCACGTTGATTTTTTTCGTTAATAAATTTTTCTCATAAAAAATTAATAGAAAATGTTAAGGTAAGCAATTTTTGTTATTTTATTGTATTTTTGGAAGAGTCAAAATGGTTAAAACACATGTCAATATTCCAACAGGACAAAATAAAATAACAAATTTTCATATTTTGGAGCAAGAAATCTAATATTATTATACATACTATCGATAAGATAAAATTATATTATAAATTAAATTAAATTAAATAATATTATTTTATTTTATATTTGATGTGTAAAAATTATAATAAAATATTTATTTATTGATCAAAATTATATTTTTTAAAATTTATATAATTTAAATTATTAATATAATTTTTAAAAATATAATACAATATATAAATTTAATTCAATAAATTAAAAAAATCTTTTTTACTTTAGAACAATTTAATACCAAATGAATAATTAATATTTTTTATAAATCTATCCATTTCTTTAAATATATATCAAAATATAATATAAAATAATTATTACTTTGTCCATTCTATCGTTATATTTACCAAACATCAACTAAAGTCTTGACGCGGGTTTCTTTAAGGTCACCGTTTGATTTAATCAAGCCTGGCCGCAATAGCACTTAGGACGGTAGATCTGGGTAGGATATATCCTACGATATCGATTGGATTGTAGCACCGAAATGATTACCACACTTGATCATTTCCTTCTTAAAGCTAATAAATGCGCAGTAATTAAACAAATCCTTCCTGCTTCTAGAATAAAAAAAAAATAGAAAAGGCTTCCAGCCTGCCACTGCTCTGCTCTTACCCTTTGTCTTTCCGTCTTCTTGTCTCTCTGATTCGCACTCCTCCTTTCCCTTCTTCTTCTTCTTCCTCACTTTGTGGGGAAGCGAAGCATTCTTTTCTTCTTTGTGTCTCTCTATCTCTCCATTGGGGTATTTTCTTTCTCTTGCTTCAAGAATAGAAACGCATTATTACCAAAACCAAAGCCAAAACTCAAAAAGAAGCAACACACTCAAAAAAAAAAAAAAACAGAGACCCCACCCACCACGAAACTCAAATGGGAGAATCAAGAGATACCCACATGGTAAAATGCCCTCAACAACCTTAAACCTCTACCTTTTCTTGTCTTTTGTTGTTGCCAATGTACCCCTTTTTTTACACTGCTGGTTTCTTCCATGTTCTTTTTTTTTTGTTATTATAGTAATAATAATAACAATAATAAAATTTATTCGGGTGGCCTTTAGCAATAAAATGGTTGATTTTGTTGAACAAAAATGTTAATCCATTAGCTGCTGCAAAGATTGGGATTTTTACACCTTCACTGTGTCTTAGTTTGTTACTAGTTTATTGTTTCTGTAGGATTATAAAGGTTACAACTTTTTTTTTTGAAGTAATACGAATGATCTTAGAATATTTAATGCTTGTGAAAAGGTTCCATGTATTTTCTTATAATGGAAGTTTTGTTAATTTGAACTTCATTTAAGTGCACTGATTGTTTGCTTTTTATTAAGTGACAATGATATTTAAAAAATTCTTACGATATATTTCCTTATTTCAACAGGGCAAGACCTGTGATATATGTGGTGATGTTGGTTATGAGGAACTAATTAGAACATGCTCTCAATGCACCATCGGGCGTCATCTGTAAGATAACTATCGCTTTAATATTAAGACTTTGTTTGGTCGGAGGATGGAAAAAAGAAGGAAGAAAAATATTTTAATCTAATAGTAAGCAATAGAGTAGGAAAATGGTCATGAAATCTACTATGATAAATCCTTCTTACCAAACCAAGCCTTGTGGGTGCAATGTACTGTTTGTTTCCTTTTGTATGTGGACTGCATGCGCATTCTTGTTTGGTTTCCACCTCCCAACTTTTATCAATTAAATGAAGAACCAGCTTCATTAAATTTGTTGCTTGATTCTGAAATCATACTATCACCCTTAATTACTTGCTTTTGACTAGAATAGTAACACCTTAAACTGATTGTCTCATATGTAGTTATATATTCTATTTATTTGACTTCCAATTCTGACTATAATGTTTTTTTTTTTTTTTCTTTTGGAAGATATTGCATGAGGGTTTTAGTGAGGGACGTGAAGATGGCAGAAGATTGGGTTTGTGAAGTATGTCGTCCGAAGAAAGACATAGATTCTGAAAAATCTGGCCAGACGGAAGATGTTCTGGATTCCTCTGGAAAACTATTTTTTGACTTAGGAAGACAGGTTACATGTAAAAGGCAGAAGGCTGTTGAAACTGGGAAAGTGAAGTTCCTTCCTACTGAGGAGGTCATTAAGCTATCATCAGGCTCAACAAAAAATGCATTTCCTTTGAAGAGCAACTTCGGATCAGACCCTGTGCCAGCAAACTTCACTCCACCTCTTTCCAAGAGGACATTTATGGGATCTAAAACTGTTGGCCCTTATTTTAACCCAATAAAGGTGAGAAGAAATACTAGTTTTCTACAGTTGGGATCTGTGAACCCTCCTAGACGTGGTGGTGTGCATATCAGTTCATCAATTAGTCAACTTGCAGTCAAAACATCAAAGGAGTCAAAAGGTGATAAACCCTTGGACTTTGCCACCAGTTTTCTTTTTTTTTTGCATAAATTTTCTGTCTTGAGAAATGTTGAAAGATGTAACAATGAAAGAAGTTCCAGACTATGTTTATTTCGTTTACATTAGATGTAAAAGTTTTTCATTTTACTTCTTTCAAGTTGTTGGAGTTGGTGCTTTGGGAAAAATAAACACTTTGATAGAGTTAGTGTGGTATGGACTGGATTTGGTTGGTGTAGATCGTTGATATTTCTTGAGCTTTTGCTGGAGTCAATGCCAAATATGATTGGAAGTTTATGTTATGTGTTATGTTATCTTATATCTTAAATCAATGTTGTTTATTATTTAAGTTGAGCCTGAGTCTATTATCCTAAACCTTTAGCCCTAGACAAGAATCTAAGTTTTCTTTACCCTTTTGCTAGATAACAGGGAAAAGGAGGAAAAAAAAAAAACTTTACTAGTTTTATTTTCAATGTGCAAAAGCTTGAACACACATTGATGGCAAGTTTGGTGTGGGAATGGAAAATGTTGCTGTTGCATTTTATTTTACATGAATAATAGGATTGGATATCAAGCCCTTGTCTTCTATAAGAGTACTGTATTGCTTCTGTGTCCCACTGCAGAAGATGAAGAAAAGGCTCCTCAGACACTTGCAAAGAAATACAGGAGTAATGAAGAGCCAGTATCTTCTGTTGTGGTTGCTAAAGAAGTCAATACTGTAAATGCTAAAGCACCGAACACAATGAAAGAGACATTGACTTATGTATTATAATTATTAATTGGGTGCTACTGGTGCTCTTTGCTTTTATTTTAGTTTGTCCACTTATTCTATAGCCTTAGCTACTTGATTTATATGTGTGCATCTACCTTATGGTGACAAATTGCTGCTCTTATTATTATTTTTTCTGTAGAAGGTGCCCTTGTTGTTCCCAACAAAGAGAATGTTTGCAAGGGACACACATTGGATGCCACCCCACCTGATGAAGAGCACAGATCTCTTCATACAAAGACAGATGAGGCTATGACATCAAGCAGACCTTCCACATCAAGGCCTCGTACAACTATTGTAGGTTCAGGCAAGAGAATTTTTCTAACCACTCAAATTTTACTATGCAAATATTATTTTTAATTTGTTGTTCTGTATTATTAAACATCTGTAAATACTAGAGAACAAAATAAAAATGAAAAAGTTGAATTTTTGTTGATTTATTTTTCTTTGTTGATAGGGGAAGAAAAAAGAAAAGTTACGCTACCTCTTTTGGAAATAAAGATAAATTTGTAAACTTGATTTTCCAATTTTATATGCTATGCTATCTTCAATCTAGATGTTTGATCATTTTCAGATTATAGTGGTGATATTGTTTATATTAAATCATTTTGTAGCTGAGCAATTTTAATTTACTTTATATTAATGTCTTCTTTAAACAAATGCTTTCTCAGGTCGAAACTTTCAAGATGCTGCTGAACCTGAGAACTCTGATTTTTCAGAAAGAGAAAGCTGGAATAGGCTTAAGATTTCCCTTTATCGCCCACATTTACCTGCTCTCTATACTACCTGGACGTAAGTATCATGTCTTTACAAGATATTCTACATCCTATAGTCTTTATTCATGTTACCAAATTTTCTAGTTGTTGAAAAAACTGGTTTGAGATAAATTCATAGCATAATAGAACAATGGCATGGATGTCTTGAGCATAAGACTTTGAGATAAATGTAAAAAGCTTCTAAACAAATATGCCATCATCATCATCATAATGCAGTTTCTTTAGCTTGTCGGCGCCTCTTCTATGCATTTGATGTTAAAAGCAGTTTGTCTCTAGTTATGTATGTGGCAGGAAAACTTCATGAGGTTCTGCATATGTATTGTAGCATGCAATTTGCAATTAGGGTTTGCATTAATTGCTACTTTTAAAAGGTTTACTTTATTTCAAAGACAGAAGTCACTTGAGACTGACATGCCTTCGGATTGACCTTTTCCAATCCTTTTTTAGGGGAGGTTTCAAATTTCTTGATGCTGCTACCCGAGGTGAATTTTATGGTGGTTTCCTGGCTCGACCACCATGCAGAGTCCATCGTAAAGCATTTGAGTTTTCACAGAAAATGCCCCCTATCCTTCCGGTTAATCTGCTTCCTCGGTGTCACCTTCAGGCAGATTTATTCCAGAATGGTTGTCTACATCTTTGTGACATTGCATTGTACATTTTTCCTTTGAATTATGACGAAAGGTTTGCTTATTATCCAATTTCTGGATTAAGCCTCCGTTTGTTTTGTTGAAATTGACTTTCAAAAAATATTTCTGAAAATATTTACATTTTCTGAAAAAAAATAGAAATTTTCTGTCATTTGGATGAGTTTCAAATAATATTAATATAATTATTAAAATATTAAAAATTATTTATTATTAAAGTATATTGAAATTATTTATTATTAAAATTATTAATATTCAAGAATAATTATATTTTCATAATAATATTTAATATTAAAATATTATATTAATATAAAAGTACTTAAAATAAAAATATTTATTATTTTTTGTATTAATATTTTAAAATATTTAAAATAGTATTACTATTCTTAAAATATTAATTTTATTAATATTAAAATAGTAATATTTATTATTAAAATATTTATATTGAAAATATCTATTGTTAAATCATAAAAAAAATCTTTTTTATTTATATTTATTATTAAAATAGCAACATAAATACCTTAATAAATAAAAATATAAAATTATATATTTTAAACTAAAAAATGATAGGAAATTATTAAAAATATTCATATTAATAAAATAATATTATTATATTGTTTAACATTAATTATTTAAATAATAAAAATATTATTATATTATTATTTGTTATTAAAATAATATAATATTATTTATTATCGAAATGCTAAAAATATTTATGTTTAATAATATACAAAATAAAAATATTTAAACTTGAAATATTAAGACTTTTAATGTTAATATTTTAATTAAAATTAAATAAAATATTTTTATTAATATAATAATAATATTTCAAGTTGAATCAAATCAATTTTGAGCTTAAAATATTATGTTCAAAGTCTTATTTGAGTAAAACTATAAAAATGTTTAAAATTAAAATATTAAAAGACTTTTAATATTAATATTTTAATTTTTTAAGTAAAATTAAATAAAAGTAATATTTATTAATGTAGTAATATTTGGGTTTGGTCAAATTAAGTTTGAGCTTAAAAAAATCATATACAAGATTCGACTTGAGTAAAATTATGCTTAAATATATTAATAAGTAGTTTTACTTATATACAGCTCTTTTTCAAAAATTGGCTTCCCCTTTTGAAAAGGGTAAGGCAATTTTTTAAAAAATTGCCTTATTTTCTGTTGACCAATAAGTCATTCTCTGTTGACCAATCAATTTTTTGCTAAACAAATACCTGAAAATGCAGAAATCATCTTCCGAAAGTCATTTTATACAAAAGAAATGGAGTTTAAATTCATTTTCCATTTACAATTTTGATTTTGGACTCATCATATTACTACAATGTCTTGTTTGAGGTGTAGATCCCAAAAGGAATACAACGAACTGTTTCAGCTCATGGAGATAAAAAGTTCAGTGATGATAAGTTACATTGATGGTGTGGAGTTGTTTATATTTACATCTAAACAGTTGCATATGGACTCACAGGGTAAGTCTCTAGTTTCTTTCACTGTGTGTTCTGTGAGCTTTCCTTCAGAATAATTTGTTGGGTATAGACTCTAGATTTATTTTATGACAACACCTCTATAGAAGTTTTATTGTTAATGTCCAGAGCTTGTTGGCTTTGCTGTGTTTAATTGCATGTGTGAGTAAATATGCATGTTCACTGCATCTGATCTCAATGCCTTCATGAAGATGACTAATATATTGTTCTGTTCATAGATGTGTTTTCTAGGTCAAATAGAGACTTTTTCTGTGGAGTCTTTCGCCATGCAAAAGATAATCAAATGAAAGTATATCAGAACCTTCCTTCTTTAGTGTTTCCTTTGGAACGTACACATGATGATAGTGCCAATATGGTTAGCAGCAAGGCTTTTGATATGAATATTAACATGGTAGGTGGAAAAATTGTAGGGATTCCTGACATGGTTGTTTCAAAAGAGTCAACACGGAAGTTCAATGAATCGGTTGCTAGAGAAAATCTTGATGTGATTAGTGGTAGGAAATTTTCCACTGTCTCAGGGGACTTGAATTCTGTGATTCAACCTATTAAACTAGAATTTAAGCCAGAATGCTGCAATGACTCTAATTCACCATCTAAAAGTACTGAAAAAATCAAGAGCAAATTCAATCTTGAGCCTGCTGAGTATCCTTTGAAAAGCTCACTTGGTAGGGCGTGTGGTAGTATGAGTGAAACTGATACACCTCCTGGTTTTGAAGTTGTGTCAAAACTAAATTCTATTGATAGAGTGCCTAAAGCCACAAGTGTGGTGGAGAAAAAAGATTTGGATGAGAGAAGAATAAAGAGTCACGTAAAATCTATTGATAGAGTGCCTAAAGCCCCAAGTGTGGTGGAGAAAAAAGATTTGGATGAGAGAAGAATAAAGAGTCACGTAAAAGAGGAGATTGGTTGTCAGGGTGTCTTTCAAGTAGCTTTTGGAGGTAGTAGTCCACAACCTCAAGGATCTATAGAAGATGCTAGTTTACCTGGATCTCAAAAAGTGCACCAGGTACTGAAAATACCATTGTACCAAAATTTAAAGTTTGTGGGTTTAAACTGTTTGAAAATTGTTTCTGATATGTCTCTTAACAGGTTTTGGCATATCATCCAGTAAATGATCCTTCAGCTGCTTGTCCTCCTCCTTCCTCTTTGTCAGTAGAGGGGACTAATGTTGGACCGATAATTAAAATTGAAGGAAATGACAATGAAAAGCCCTTAGAATCGAGAGAGAAGAAAGGTCTGCAAGGTGCACCATTCCTCAGCAAGGACAAATCTCAAGTAATTGCAGGTTTACTCTGTGGTCCATGTGCTGTAGATGTGAAAGCTGAAGTGCAAGAGGTGGTAAATGAGCATTCAGCTGCTTATCCTCCCTGTTTGTTAGGTCAGAGTACAAAAATTGGATTGGAAATCCAAACCTTAGAACATGAAAAAGAAAAACCCATTGAAACGAGGGAGAAGAAAGGTATGGGAGGTTCATCATTCCTTTGCAAGGACAAATCTAAAATGGTTGCTGGTTCATTCAATGGTCCTTGTGCTGTAGAGGGGACTAATGTTGGACTGATAATTAAAATTGAAGGAAATGACAATGAAAAACCCTTAGAATCGAGAGAGAAGAAAGGTCTGCAAGGTGCACCATTCCTCAGCAAGGACAAATCTCAAGTAATTGCAGGTTTACTCTGTGGTCCATGTGCTGTAGATGTGAAAGCTGAAGTACAAGAGGTGGTAAATGAGCATTCAGCTGCTTATCCTCCCTGTTTGTTAGGTCAGAGTACAAAAATTGGATTGGAAATCCAAACCTTAGAACATGAAAAAGAAAAACCCATTGAAACAAGAGAGAAGAAAGGTATGCGAGGTTCATCATTCCTTTGCAAGGACAAATCTAAAATGGTTGCTGGTTCATTCAATGGTCCTTGTGCTGTAGAGGACAAAGCTGAAATGCAGAAGGTGGAATATGAGAGAGTAAATACCGGTCATAGACTGCAAACTACATTGCCCAGAAACATGGAAAAGTCATTATGTTTGGGGCTGGCTGCTTCAATAAGAGTAAAGCTGAGTGTAGCTGGGAGGTCAAGTGGGAACCCTGGTGCTGCTAGTATCGGTGGACTAATTCGTGACGAATCAGGAGAGTGGATTGTAGGCTACAATCTTAACTTGGGCACATGTGGTTCTTTAGCAACAGATTTGTGGGCACTATTTCAGGGAATAAAGTTTACTTGGGATAGAGGGTATAGGAAAGTCCTGGTAGAATCAGATTCCAATGCTGCAATGGAGTGTTTAAAGAAAGCCCCCTCTCATCTGAGTTCTAATAGAGCCCTTATTGAAAGCTGCATTGATCTTATCAGTCGTAAGTGGGATTGCAAAGTGTATTCTATCCGAAGGGAAGAGAACTTGTGCGCTAATTGGTTAGCTACTCATGTTGAAGGCTGTCCACTGGGATTATCTATCATTAATGTGCCACCTTCGGAACTAATTCCTCTTTTGGAAGATGATCGTATACGAGTTGCTTGCTCATACTCCTGATTCTCCATCTGCAGTATGCTTTTGCACATGTAAATCTGGCTAAATTATCGAATTCTAGAAAAGGAAGCAGAAAAAAAAAAAGACTCAGGACATATATTTCTCAGTTACCAAGTACAGTAGCTGTTATACTATACATTTTGTAAAGCCTCTGCCAGGGAGTTCAACTTTTTTGCCTTCTAAAAAAAATAGTATCCTGTAAAATCTCGGTGTCTACCTGTTCAGTTTGAAGTTTGTTTTATAAAGTTTTCCTGTTGTGAATTGTATCAATGACTGACTTGGTTCTAACTGAATTATCTTGTAGCTTATCATTGTGCAAAAGTTCAAAACTCCAGGGAGGAACAATAGTAAGTATTTTTATGGTGTATGCTGCTCTTTGCTTGGTGTTTAATGAGACCCTTACAGGATAACAGAAGGAAGAGTGGGCTTTCTGATTCACTGATAATGCCATTTGAATCAATTAAATTATTATTTTTAATACCCAATAGTAATTTAAAAAATATCTGAATAAACTGCATTTGAGTCTATTCAAAATTTAATTAAATATAATTTTAATTTAAAATATTTTTGAATGTAAATTGTATTTTAATTATACATAAATATATTATTAAATTCTCTCAAAGAGTTCTCTTACTATTATGTCATTTTCTTATGTATGAGTTTATTAGACAGCAATGGCAACCACCACGAAGAAACGACTACGTTTTACATCAGAAAGATGTCGGTCAAACTAAGTAACGCGTGTCAGCTATTAATTGGATGCAAAAAACTACATTCCCTCCAAAGCTTCCCAAAGCAAAGGTACCAAAAAGGGAAAAAATTTTCCGAAATTCTAATCTCAAACACGAAACTGGATTACTTGTCTGGCTGCTGCTGCTTTCTCTCTTCTGCTGAGACTATGAGCAAAGGTCTAAGCGAACAGAGAAAAGAGAGAGAAAGAGAGAAAATGGAGGTGGAATCAGGTGAGGACAAGAGCAACTGCAACTGCATCAACGATGCTAAAAGTCAACGGCGGGTAGGCTTAATTTACGATCAGAGGATGTGCAAGCATCGTACTCCTGATGGTGATTATCATCCCGAGAATCCCAATCGCATCACTGCCATTTGGAACAAGCTCAAACTCGCCGGCATTCCCCAACGGTAACTTTTTAACTTTTCACCGTCATCTGAAGTTTTCTTTCGTTCTCTCGCGGTTTAATTTATTTGTGTTGAGAATTTTTTTTAAATCTAGTTTTTAGAGTAATAAATGAGAAAATGAATTTCATATAAAAATTTGTAAAATTCATTTCAAATCTTCAATTTGCTTTATTTGGAACCCAATTATATTTAATAACCTTCAATTTAACTGTTAAATTGATCCTCAAAATTCATTTCTCTTTTTAGGTCATAGTTAGGTGATTTATTTTTTATTTTTTAAACTTTTTTATTGTTGGCTTTCTCTTTTAGATGTGTGCTTTTAAATGCAAAAGAAGCCGAGGATAAATACATTTGTGCTGTTCACTCCAAAAACCATGTTAATTTGATTCGAAATATAAGCTCCAAACAGTATGATTCAAAGAGAAATCGGATCGCATCCAAGTTAAATTCTATATATTTGAATGAAGGATCATCAGAGTCTGCTTACCTCGCAGCCGGCTCTGTCATTGAGGTACATTATAAATGATTCTGTGATAAACATTATATTTATATTTTAAAGTTAAAGATCTGACCATAGAATTTTATTTTGTGAAATAGGTTTCTGAGAAAGTGGCAAAAGGGGAATTGGATTCTGCTTTCACTATTGTTAGGCCGCCTGGACATCATGCTGAGTACGATGAAGCAATGGGATTTTGTTTATTCAACAATGTCGCTATAGCAGGAAGTTTTCTACTTGATCAAAGGGTGAGAAGTGACAGCTTCTTTTTATAATTCAGGGTCATTTTTCCCAATTTTACAGTGAAGCTTGCAAAGTACTTCATGGAAAGCAACAGCATTGCATTTTTAATTGATTCATGTACTTTCCCTTCCAGCCTGAACTTGGTATAAAGAAGATTTTGATAGTTGATTGGGATGTTCATCACGGTAATGGTACTCAAAAAACTTTCTGGAAGGATCCTCGTGTTCTGTTCTTCTCTGTTCACAGGTAAGTAACTAATCTGAGCCAATATTTTCTGTATTAAGTTGTGTATGCTCTTACTATAAAGTAAGTTTTTTTTGTGGCAATCGTATGTGCTAGAGATCATTTTTCAATTTTTTAAGGATAACATTAGTCATGTTCATGTATTAGCCTTTTGTTTGTAGCTATATTTGTCCCCACCCCACCCCCTTCTTTTTAAGTGCAGACTTTCAGACTGAATTTAAACTGTATAATGTTTAATCACATATTATTACTGGCACCTAACAGTGACCACTTTAATTTGTTTTCTCGTGCAGGCATGAGTTTGGCAGTTTTTACCCTGCTAATGATGATGGTTTTTACACCATGGTTGGAGAAGGACCAGGTGCAGGATATAATATAAATGTACCTTGGGAGAATGGCCGGTGTGGGGATGCTGACTATCTTGCAGTTTGGGACCATATTTTAATTCCCGTTGCCAAGGAATTTAATCCTGACATAATTATAATATCTGCAGGATTTGATGCAGGTTTGATGGTTATGTACTCACTTACCTATTGAGTTTTAGAATCCTTGGTGTTTCAGCTGCTTTAAGTCTCTTCTTCATCATCATAAGTATTACCTATATGTTGTTTGAAACAGCTGTTGGTGATCCTCTAGGGGGTTGTCAGGTAACACCAGACGGATACGCAGTTTTGTTGAAGAAGGTTAGTGATTCATTTTAACTATCACTTCCTTAATTTCTCCCTTTTGATTTCTCTATATCCAATGCAGTTGGTCTGTAACTTTTAATTAGCCATTCCACTTCATAATTTTTTCTAAGTAAGATTTACATTATTGCATCTTTTTTATGTTCATCTAAAAAGATGGTTTTCTATATCTTTTGCATTTAATGTAACTTCTTTTTTCCAGTTGATGAATTTTGCTCAAGGTAGGATTGTTTTGGCATTGGAAGGAGGATACAATCTTGATTCTATTGCAAATTCAGCCCTGGCTTGCATGGAAGTTTTGTTAGAAGACAAACCTGTTTCCATATTATCAGAGGCATATCCATTTGAGTCTACATGGCGAGTAATACAAGCGGTAATAATCTGTTACAATGGGTTGTGCCAAGCTTTCCAACCACTACAGTTGTTGAGTGGAATTAACTACGCTTCCTTTTCCTCCTTTATTTGGTTCCTTATCAGTTGTTAGCAATTTGTGCTTATTGTAGTCTTTTCTTCTACTGAGGCATACATGCACTGTTTACCAGGTTCGCCAGAAATTGAGTGCATTCTGGCCAACACTTGCAGATGAATTACCAACAAAGTTGACCAATAAAAAGGCTCCTCCAGTAAGGCTTTCTTTCATCTCAGTTGCAGATTTGCCTTCATGCTTTCATCATGTCGATTGTGGATAGCTGGTAGATTAGCATGCATTATTTTTTTGTTAAATTAGTCTTGTTTAGGTGATTTTAAAATTTAGTAATAAACATAAACCGAAAATGCAGTAATTGCTTGTTTGTCATATAACCACAGAAGAAAAAGAATCGCTTGTTTATGATTAGTCTATACATGGTACATGATGCTAAATCATATAGGGAATCTTGAATACATCTAAATGTATTTCTTAAAAGAAGGAAGAATGTATCCAAAATGGAAAAGATTAAAAAATGTGCTTGATGAATGTTTTAGGGTTCTTGTCGATAAGGATGGAGTCATAGGGAGGACATGCATCTTTCTGAGATACCAGTTTGAGGGTTTTTGTCATTAATTTTAACAAATATAATGTTATTCATTGAGCCCATATATCTTTCTAATATAGTTGTTTGCAACTCAGCATATTCTATTGTCAAGCTCTGAATCTGATGATGAGGATGATGAAGCTTCGAAAATCATATCAGAAGACCTAGTTGAAGCTGTTGAGGATGTTGTAGAACCCCTTTTGAAGTTGAAGATTGAAGATAATCATGGTAATACAATGAAGAATAAAGTTGTTAAGTTTTGTTCTTTAGTTTTACTTGAAATGATAAGCTCCATATTGAATGCAGATCAAGCAACTAGTGCCCAGTGGAGATCAGGGCTGTCCAAGACTGACATTTGGTATGCCACTTTTGGATCAAATATGTGGAAGTCAAGGTTCCTCTGCTATATCGAAGGTGGACAGGTAGGCATTTTATTAAAAGGATGGATGATACCCTTAAACCTGAAATCAAAGATGTTATTAGATCAGGTAGCCTTAAGACATTAACTAATATCAGAGCCATGTCTCATCCTAATAAACTTGGGTTACCAGTTGACAGTTGGAAGTGGGAGAAGAAGGAAAAATGAATGTTTATTTTATGGAAGCGTGCTTTTGTCCTATAGCTTTCAGAAGTCTGGCATCTTGATTAAGTATTTTTTTTTTTCCTGATGTAGTTTCATAAGTCTTGCATAAGAGGAAAAAGTCACCATTTTGGCTACTTTTCATTAAATATTTCCTGTGCTAAAATCATTTGGAAACCTATTGGTGTTATTAACCCGAATTTTCCAAAAAAAAAAAAAAACCACAGATAGCATTTGCTTGGTCTATGGGAATGTCTGCCATGTTACTCTCTATTGTTCTTTATTTTATGTCCTTTCTTTTCTCAAGCACCATGATTTTAGCACAGGAGCACCATTACTCCTTATCTTGCAACCACTTCTTCCCCTCCCTTTTATTTCTTTTTGCTTATCCCACTTTAATCTATTTTATGTTAATTTTGAAATTTGTAAATATGATTTTAGGTTAAAAGTATGAAAAAGCCATGTTCTGGTTCAATGGATAGAAACCCTCCAAAGGAGACTCTCTGGAAAACTTTTCCTCACCGTCTTTTCTTTGGTCGCGATTTTTCACAAACATGGGGTCCCGGAGGGGTTGCTTTCCTTCATCCTCGAAGCAACGGCCAAGATAAAACTTTCATGTGCCTCTATAGAATTACGTAAGTTATTCCATATTCAACTTTCCTCATCTTTATGTTGAAGATAATTTCAGTCTCTGTTACGATTATTAAGAAACAACTGTTGAATGCGTTTGAATCAACCTGCTTGCCTCAACATCCTATCTAAATTATTTATTCTTTGGCATCTTAAACAGGCTAGAGCAGTTCAATGATGTTTTGCTTCAGGAAAATGTTCCAGATCATGACATGAATTCTCCTTTGTTTGATCTAAATGCTTTGGACTCCATCCCAAATGAAGGTTCTTTTTCTGTGGAGGCTGTCAAGGTAATCCATGTTTATCCTGTCCTTTCATATGGGTTGCCATATCTTTGCATTTTCTACTGTCAATATTTTGAGGGTTATGCCCTTTACAATCAATTTGGCTCTTTATGCAGAGAGGCTGGTACCATAACGTTGTTTACCTGGGAAAGGAGAATGATATCCCTATACTGACTATGACGTACGCTTAAACGCACTTTCTTGGCAACTCTTTTTTCATTCTACTAGTTTCTGACATCTGCATAATTTGCATATTTTGTGTTTATATTTTTGTTTATTTGATTGATATTCAGGTGTTCCCTCTCAGTGATCGAAAGATTTAAGTTGGGAGAGATTCCTTTGCATGCTCCTAGCAAAGAATATGCCGACACATTAGCAAGAGGTCTGGTCGAAGGCAAACAGCTATCAGAAGAGGAGGCCACGGCTTACATACAGGAAGCAACTGCAAAACCATTATGATTGCTGATTGCGTTGCCACATTTTGGACGCAAATATCTTAAGTAATAGCATTGATGGTACAGAGTAAAGCAGTTCTTGTTGCCCAAACAACAGTGGATGATATCGATATGTGTGATATACATCCATTGTGTATTTAGTTTGTATTTTAGAAGCTGTAGCCAACTGTATGGTATAACTAGCTAATATTTAATGGGTTAATTGCTGTCTCTCGGCACCTACATTCAGTCCCTTGTGTGTAGTAGCCATCTTGACGGTGTACCTTTGGCTAAGAACACCGCAAGCACTACCGTATGATTTTGCAACAGGAGAATCATGTTTTTCTAATTCATGCATTCACCTGCATCCCCACCTCCCAAAACCCAAAGGAAACAGTGTCGTAGTAAAGGCTTTCTGTAATTGCCCTCCAACGAGGATCTGTCTCTTTCTTGCTTTAAAACAGATTTTTTCTAGTTATTCCTTTTTAGAACTAGAAAATGTTAGATTCGTGTTTGTCCATTTAGTTCAAATATGTGTAAAATATAAAAATTATTATATCATAATTTATATTGATGTATTAAACATGAAATATATTTTTTTATATCAAATTTATATATAATTTTTGTTAAAATTATAAATTATCATTTTTATGTTTTTTTTATCTGATGTGAAATTGTTATGTTAATTAAAAGAGCCAAAAGCAGACACGCTGTTAGAACACCTAGACCAGGTAAATTGCTGATTTATAGGAGTTCCAGGTAAAGGATTGCCGGACAAAGAATTATAGTTACTATTGCCTTCACATTGGTTTTCAATTCAAGGACCTTTATGCGATTAGCGATAAAAGAATTTGCAAAAAATACATAGGCAGTCTTATTCTTAAATGTTCTGAGGTCTAATCAACATTAAGAATCTGCATGTGTTCATAGCAAAGTACAAAGGGAAATCACGCCTTCTAATTACTAAATCCTTGTAATTAATTCAAAATTGTAGCAGCATTCTGTGAATATCTCATTATTGTTATCTTGTTTTCGAATAAAAAAAGAATAGGAAAAAGCGAAGGCATGCTTCGTACAGTATCCTTTTGACCATAGGCAATTTGCTTTTGCAATAAGAATGGATGAATGCGACCAAAAGAATGAGCCGCTTGTCGCTTGCCCAAATTCTGAAATGCTATAACTGCGCTGGTGTGTTTGATATTTAATCATCAGCATAAATAGAGAATAACCTCTTGATCTCATCGGAATTTCAATCTAGCATGACCAGTGTCTCCCAAATGCTTATGTAATTTATTCCTGTCACGATGCAGATATGATGATATTTCTTTGTTAGGTGTGACGCAAATGCTTCAAGGAAACTAAAAATAAAAAAATAAAAAGGAAGAGTGGCAATGAGAATATAATTCTACATACTTTGATTGAAATTCCTCTCCACATGTCTCACACACATTGCCAGAATACTTTGATGTCGCCTGCATGTGAATGCATATTTTTACAATTAGACAAGAAATGAGAGTACAAGCATAATTCAATACTACTAGTATATTTCAAACAAAATACATGAAGAATTTGGGTGATTTTTATAAATAGTTGAGCTTGGTGATGAAAGTCTCACTTTTTAGCTCTGTTCCCAAAGCTGGAGACTAGAGATAGATGGAAGGCCATCCCTTATGCCTTCATGTTTGATTTTCTTGTGAGCAAAAGAGCTCAAAGCTGTCTAGTAAAACTAGTTAGATAATATGTTGTTTCAAGTTTCCCTTCCCTTTCCTAATGTTGTACTCCACCCCTGGTAACCACCAATTTCGTGCCTCTTGATAAAGATTGCTATCTATCAAGAAAATCTCCGCTTGGAAGCTATTGGTGGCAATCATATGTTCTCCACAATATTAACTATACAAATACTGCAACGGAACTACTTGATCAACACTTGCCTGGCATTTAACAGTCCAGCAGCTGTGGGTAAAGCTTATATTCATCAACTAAAAACCCTTCCTTTTTATGTGTATGTGTGTGTGCATGTAAGTAAGCAATTACAGAGTTCCTTGTGTTCTCTCTATTTTCTACAATTGCATCTAATTGGCACCTCTAGGATCTTGATGTAAGTCTGATCACTCATCAGAAATAATCTCACTTGGGCTATAGAAATAACATATTATTGTGGCTTATTCATATTGCAAATCTCAAGTAATATAATCTGTTTTTTGGCCAGCCAACTAAATAGGTCCAAAACTTATTTTTAAAAAAAGAGTGTCAAAACTTATTACTTCAAAACTGAGCATAAGATAGAACAAAAAGGAGAAGTTGGTATAACCCAGAAAGTTACATCATATATATGGAGGTAACTAGCAATGGTTTAATCAATATCAATAAACATGGAGAGTAAAGAATACCTTCACTTTCTTTCCTTTAGATGAGTTATTCGATTTGGTATTCGTTTCTTTCTTCATATTCCCTTTGCTATCAACAGGTTGCTTTGAAATCTTATCATTGTTTCCCAATTTATCATCCTTTTCCCCATTACGATCCTCATTTTCTACAGGTTGCTTCCCCTCTACATGCAGAGTATCACTTGCAGTAGCTTGTTTATTCTTGCTTTTAGTTTCGTTTACATCACCCTTCACGGCTTCACTGCCATTTTTCTTACCCCTCTCCTTCTTCCCTCTTCTGTTTCTCCTTCTGTTCTTCCAGTGATCATCTTCCATAAGTTCCCCCTCGTCACTCTCATCCTTGACATGAAATCCTGCCTGCAAAATCACATCCTCACTCCTGAAAGAAGCATTCTTCTTATCTTTTTGCCCCAACACTAATGCTTCAAAAACACTATTTTCTTCATCATCATTATTATCACGATCAACTTCAACCCCCTCTTCACCCCCTTCCCCAGCATCAAAAACCCCATCATCCTCCTCACTTAACTCACCAACTCTATTCTTTCCTTCTTCCTTCCCTTCCTCTTCTATCTGTAAACCTTCCCTAAACCTCTCCTCCACATCCTCTTCCTCTTCCTCTTCCACCTCCAAATCCCCTTCCTCTTCGTCCTCATCAACATAGGACTCCCTCAACTCTGCCACTTTCTCCTTATGCTTCTTTGACTGCTCATGATTCTTCCATTGCTTCTCACTCTTAAACTTCTTCCCACATGCCACACAATACAACTCTTCCTTCTCTTTCCCTCTCTCCTCCACTTCATCCCAATCATCTCCTTCTTCCTCTTCAACTTTTGCCCATTCTGGCTCCTCATATGCCCTAACTCTCTCCAACCTCTCCTTCTCCAACTTCCTCTTCCTCTCCCTCTCCTCCTCTTTCCTCCTCTCCATCTCCTCCTTTCTTTTCACACTCATATCAATAACCCTCTTATCCCTCTTCTTAACAAACTCAGCCAGCCCTCTAATAGTCTCGTTATACTCCCTTTTTGCCTTCCTCCGCAACTTCTTATTCTCTTCCTCCATAACCCTCCGCGATTTACGGTTGGGTCCCGCCATAGCATCATACTCATCAGCCCAAACAAAATCCATAACGGTAGAAAACCCCAACCAATAGTTATAAAAAGCCGTAACTTGACCGTACGGGCTTTCCAAATTTCCCATCAAAGGAGCTTCCTTTACTACATCTAACCCTAACTCTAACTTTTTGACGAAATTAATTTCATTGGCATAAATTTTAGAGAAAAGGTCAGAATAAACCTTGTAGAAGCCACGACCCGAGTCGGAGTAACCGGAATAAACGGTGTTGGAGAAGAAAGAGAAGAGGTCAGGAATAGGGGAAGAGGCTGTGGCGTTGCGGTCGGCGAAGAGGATTTGGGAGCGGTGAGAGTCGTACCAAGAACGTTCCTTGGGGTCGGAGAGGACCTCGTAAGCGTGGAGTAGCTCTTGGAATTGGGCGGTGGCATCGGCCTGAGAAAGGCCGGATTGCATTAGCTTGTCAGGGTGGCGTTGGAGGGCGAGCTTTTTGTAGGCTGAGCGGATTTCCTCTTGGCTACAATCACGGGATAAGCCTAGTACCTCGTAAAGGCACCGCTTCTCCGATGCCATTTTTTTTTATTTAATTAGGTTTCTCAGGTTTTGTTCTGCTGGGCGAGCGATGACTGATGATTTAGCGCTTGAACCCTTAGATGCGAAGGTGAAGGAGAAGAGGAAGAAGACCTATCTTTTTCTTCTCTTCTTCGCTATTTAATTTAATTTAACCTTTTTTCCTTTTATAGTAACATATATATATATATATATATTTTATTTTTTTTTTGGCCAGATTTATGTTTGGTCTTGGTAGGTTACATTGGTGGGTGCTTGCAGACAAGAAAACTTCGGCGAACCGACTTTCCTCTTCTCCTTCCCGTGGCAGGAGAAACAAAATTAAAGAAAATTAAAAATATATATATCCCCAAAAAAGTTTTAAAATATTAATAGTAACAAATATGTTTACTGAAATTCAATTTTTTGAACTAAATTTAACAAACTTAAATTTTAAATCTTAATATTTGAAATTTTTTTATTTCCAAATTACAATTTCTTATAATAAAAAATTTTTTAATTTTCGAGTTTTAAATTATACTTATAATTACCTTGCATGGAATAATTAACAATTTAGATTGACTACAATGCCAACCAAACCTCGGACTCAAAATTAAAAATTTGAGTCCTTGATATATACTCTCCTCTCTCTTTTTTTTTTTTTTTCTTGATTTTTTTCTTTTTAATTTTACAAAGTATGAAACATCATTTTTATAAAAAATTAAAATTTTAATATTACAATAATCAAGCATTATTTTTTAAACTAATATAAAAATAAAGCACTTTTGTTTGTAGAAGAAAGTTCACAACAGAGAACTATTTCTATGATGCTTTAAGCTGAAGGCTCAAAAAGAGATGATTCAATAGATACTGAGGCATTGCCTCAACTGTATTATAGGGCACAGGAAGAGGGCTACAACTTGAAGGCCTTAAAAATTGCCATTATTCTAATTTCATTGTCTTCAAAGCAAGATCTTCTTTTGAATGTGTGTTTGAGTTCTCTGTTGGCTTCATTAAAAAAAAAAATTATAATTGACAATGTTTAACATACTGTAGGCTTCTTGTGTGGTAAGTGTCCCATCTTCACAACCCGAGCATTGAGCTAAAAAATGAAATTCATCAAGCTACCTCTTCAAAGAAGATTTAGGTTTCTCTATCGATAAGTTTGCAACTTCATGCACATTGTAATTGTCCAGTTTTTCATTGAATTGATCTCTTAGGAATTCAACAGCCATGAATGTAAGAGCAGAGGCTGGAATGTACCATGTGATACGCGGGATGCTTCCTCTGAACATTCCCTTCACACCTTCAGTCTTCCAGATTTTACTCATCGCATCCAGCCAGCCATTGTAGCTGATAGTTCACAATGTTATAACAAAATCAGAATCATATAGCACCACAGAGGGTGTTGTAAGCATGATCATGAAAAAAAAATACGCATGTGGAAAGTGGGTCATGCTTTGCAAATGCAGAAAGAAATAAGATACCGAGATGGTGAAAAAACAGTCAACATGCTTAATACATGTGGTAATTTTGGTTAGATAATATGATACCGATTACGGTTAAAGTATGCCCTTAATCAAAGTTCCTACTCCTGGTACCACCAAATTAATCTCACAAGGAACTGAAATTAAATTTTCGATGCTTCAGAAAATTTGATGTCATAACTATAGCTCATTAAGAACAATGTTATTCTAAAAGATGTGACAGTTGATACCTTGTGGATGATCCCTGAACTTGTAATCTTGTTTTGATTACATCCAAAGGAGTTGTAAGGTATGCACTAAACCCTGCACATCATATCGAATTATTAACTGCATTTTGGCCACGACAAATTCTGAGTTCAATCATTAAAAAAAGAAATTAAAAATGCATGATATAGGATGAAGCAGAAGCAGGAAACTTACCACCAGCCAATCCTCCTAATACAAGTCCCTCCATGGTACTATCAATATGGAAATTAGGAGCCCACTTTCGCCTCACTTTCTCTGTCTCATCTTTCAGGCCTTCATAGAACATAACCTGCAGAGTTCAAATGACAACAAAAACAAGGTCATTAATTCCCCTTACAATTGAATCTAAAGGTGCACATTGGGTGAACATATGCTAGGACTCTTTCATAGGAATTCTGTTCTCAAAATGATGATAGTTCAGCATATAAAAAAAAAAAATGATGTCAATACTCAATAGTCCGTTCCCTCCATTGAGGCACAGAACTAATCAACCTGGTGATTTACATTATGCATACAGAAAAGCAAACATATAAATGCCGAGAAATTAAAAGCAATCTAAATGATGAGCTCATTTTCTATCCATGGAGAAAGAAAGTAACCAACAAGGGCCAAGCAAACACAACAAGCACAATTCGCAATATTACATGCGAAAGGGGAGGGATCACAATGGTCTGCTCAGTTAATTGTGTATTGATGACATAAGACTTTTCGATTGAGCATTTACTGACTGTAGACGCAGCAGCACATTTAGAAAAGAAAAAGAGGAGTTGGGGGGAGAAAGAAAAGAAACAGATGAAAGCAATGAAGGGTACGTTGTATAGGCAAGACCTTGATGATCATTTTCCTCACCTATTGGTCGAACCTTAAGATCAACTGTTTTTCTTTCTAAAGCATGGATAATAAAAATAAGTTATTATCAAACTGAAATAAAGTTAAAATTACTATAATAAATAAGAATGTAACAGCAAACTTAGAATAAACAAATATACCACATGCAGCTCAATCTAAAATAATTTACATACCATAAGACCAGCAAATGGCACATCCCTTGCAATTGTGGACCAGTATCTGAAAAGGAATGGAAAGAAGAATGAAATTCATCAACAGCCCTAAAATTTAGAGTACTCCAGATTTCAGAAAAACTAACTTATTCGTAAGATTAAAATCACTTTGTTCAGCATAGCAATTAAGGAGACATGATGTTAGATGCCCTGCATGCTGAACAGCAAAAGGAATAGGGAAGAGAGGGGAGACATAAAGAAAGGGGACCCAGGCTATCTAAAATGCAAGTTTCTATAAACTCCTTCAAATGATAGAAATGTTAAAATCAGAAGTGGCAGACAGTCCAATATCGAGTATCACTGTATGTAAATTAGGCATGTATATGAGCATATGTGGTCGGAGTTTGGACAAAGGTATTTGTATGCATGTGGATCCAAGTATTTATCTAACACTAAATGATAATATAGAAAGAAAGAAATATTCACCCGGCATATAATCCTTTTAGCCCTTGCTCTTTCCATATTGAACGGGCAGCTTGGAACATTCCTGTGTAATAACCATACATTTGTGCGCCAGATTTCATTTGCATTTTGTCTTTCATGATAGCAGAATTCCAAGATGTTCTAGAGCCTTGAATCTGCATGCGTTGCTTCATCACTTCACATGGAACATATACAAAAGAACCAAGTGTATCACCTGAAAATAACCAAGTGTATGGATCAGCACAAGATGATCATGAAAGTGGACCAAAACATATAAGACACAAGAAACCAATTTTAAAAGTGAGCAATGTCTAACATGTTAATCTCATCAGAGTCATAGCTATTAAGCAAGAAAATTAGATGAAATAATATTACTAAAAAAAGATAAATTTCCAAAACAGCTTACCAACAGCACCAGCTATAAAATGAGTCCAGTGACTCCCAAGATTAGGATGTGATTTTTCAATCCATTTTTTAGAGGACTCTATTAAACCAAAGTATGTTGCTCCAGTTGCAAGAGATCCAGTAATTCCAGGAGCTATACCCCTATAGAAACCTATAAACGTGATCAATCAAGATGAAATATATAACAACATTGTGAATGTATAACACATATTAAAAAAAGCCACAAAGTTTAAGCCAAAATTATGTTACATATAGTATATAATTAAATCAAAAATATTAAAAGCGATGGAATATACCTCTTATGCCATCTGCAACCCAAACAGTTCTAACCATCTGCACTATACTCTTTTGACTCTGCTAGTAATAAAAAAAAAAAATTATCAACAAATAAATACTCCGAAACACATGTAAATCGAGTAGAAAATTATGTCATCATAATACCCGACTTCCAGTAAGAAGAGCTTGACTTTGAATTCTTGTCTTTATGGTATCAATGGGATGCATCATATCCTCTCCGAAAGCTCCAGCTATTGCTCCCCATAAGAACTCTCTCCACACTATATCAAAACAATAAAAATCCATTAACACAATAAAAATTCATAAAAATATATATATTTGCACAGATTATAATAACATTTTCTATTTGCACAGATTATAATAACATTTTATTTTTGCAAAGAAACATATTTTTGAATTACTCCTTTTTTCTTTAAAAAAAAACCCCAATAAATACCGGCAACCAATTGTATCTATTAGGCTAATTTTTTTTTTTTCTAAATCATTTGGGATTAGAAAACATTTCAAGCACTTTTTTTTAAAATCAAACAAAACAAAAAAAGTAGTAAAAATTAAAAAAAAAATGTAGAAAATTTACCAAAGAACTGATTTTGATTGAGGGTGGCTTTGTCGGATATAAGAGATAATCCAGATTCGAATTTCATGGAAGTTGATCTGTTATTCGCCATTCGAAGATTGGATGTGAGTTCTTTTTTCCTTTATTCTCTAAACGGTTTTCACTTTCTTACTAGGGTTTAGGTTTTAAAAAATACATTTCTTTCCAGGGTTTAGGGTTTAAAAAATACGCTATTTTTTTTACCAACTAAAAACTCTTCGTCGCAGGGTAATGTAAGCCATGTATTTTAAATAGATAATAATACAACAAATTTAATGGAAGACACGTGCTTTAAATGGATAGTATGTGAAAGATTTAGAACATAATAATGTAAAATACAAATAAAAAGTAATAAATAAAATTTTAATAAAAATTATATATGAATTTAATAAAATTTAAAAAAAAATATTTTTTTATTTTTATGTTGATATAAATTATAATACATAATTTTTCATATAAAATATGATATGAATTATTAATATTTTTATGTTATATAAATATTCAAATTATCAAATTTAAATTAAACTTAATGATTAAAGCGCTGGTAGTGACTTAGCTTGACAAGAGAATAGAAATGAAATCTTATTAATATCGGACTCCAACGAGAGATATGATGGTTAATTAATCTAATTATAAATTTTAAAAATTTTATCATATAATATAAATATATAATAATAATAAATACTTTAATGCCTTTTTTTAACTAATCTTATATATCTTCTTTTAAATGTCCTAAATTAGAGATATAAGTGTCAAATTCATATAGCATTAGTTTTAAGAATAATTTGATTAAAAAACTTGAGACTTGAGGTTAGTCCAAAAAAATTTTTTCCTGTAATTAAATTCAATTATTATTCATTTATATAATTAGTTTAAAACATTATTTAGACTGAAATCAAGCTCAATTTTGAAATAAAAAAAATCGAGTAAAGCTTCAATTTTAAAAATATGTAAATAAATAATATTTTATTTGTATATGTATATAGCATCAAGAATTTAAAGAGTTGGTAAGCTAAAAATGTATTTTTTGTATTGATTAATATAAATAGGGATTGAAAGTGACTTTAATATATATATATATATTAATTTTTTATTTTTTATAAAATTAAAATTTTATGATTTTTAATGTCAAAAATCATTAAAAAAATATTTTTAAAATATAAAAAATAAAAATTTTAGATGTTCATTACAAAATATAATTTTGAAACATTTTCAATAATAAATAAAACGAAAGGAGTACAAAGTTTAAAATCAATTTAACTCATTATTCAAGCAACTCCAACTTTAATTTGCCTCAACAATTAAATTTGAAAATTTATCTAATCTTATATAAATATATAAAATCATAGCATTTGATTAAAAAATAATAATCCAATTTAGATAGTTTATATTTTTGACATATGGATGAATTTAAAAATTACCATATTCTCTAAAAAATGTATTTTATTTATTTAAAACATTTTTATTATTTTTATAGCAACATTTTATTATTTAAGAAATAATTAGTTAGACTAAATTAATTACATTTATTACATTCTAAATATTTAATAGTTTTACCTTATATGAATAAATTACAATTAATTCGGTCTATAATAAAAATAAAAAAACTAAATAAAAAATTAATTACTCATGAATATATTTTCATATTTTCTTATAAATAAAATTTAATGTAGTAAATTATAAAATAAAAATGAGCCATTTAATCTTATATAAATATATAAAAATTAAAATCTTAGATAAAAGACAAAATAATCCAACGTGGATAGCTTATATTGTTAACATATAAATGCGTTTAAAGATTATCGTATTCTTTAATAAATGTATTTTATTTATCTAAAATATTTTTATTATTTTTTAATTAGTTATACTAAATTAATTACATTTATTACATTTTAAATATTCAATATTTTTACCTTATATAAATAAATTACGATTAATTTGGTCAATAATACATATAAAAAAATAAACTAAATAAAAAATTAACTACTTATGAATATATTTTCTTTTTTTTTTATTTATTGTGAAAAATTAAATGAAATTTAATGTAATAAATTAGGAAACAAAAATAAGTCATTTAATGAGTTGAAAATAATGATATAATTAATTAAAGAAGATTCTTGTTTCTTTTAAAAAAAGACAACAGATTATGTAATAGTTCAAATTTTGTAATTTTGATGGGAAAATTACATTAATTTCATATCTTTTATTATTTATTACATTAGAGGATTAATAATAGTAACTTTTTAACATATTTACGATAATATTTATTGATAGTAATATAAATATAAATGTTCTTAAAAAAAAAAAAAAAGCAATCGAATTTGACTATTCTTCAACTTTCTTTTATTATAATTTTATTGTTATTATCTTATAAAATATATATTTTGTAGTATTTCTTGCTATTATTTTGTAAGTTTATTGAGATTTTACTTATATTTTTATTTATATAATTGTTAGTTTTTTTTTTTAAGAATAACAATTTTATCAAATATACATTTCAGTATAATTTTAGTTTATAATTTAAAGGTGAATCTTTGATATTATATATATATATATATATGTTGAATGTGATGTTCCCAAAAAATAATTTATTGGGATATCTTAATTAACATAGGCTTAATGAATTTTATTTATTTTAGATATTACTCTATAAAATTATGTTAATTTGCAAGATTTTATAACCAAATGCCAAAGACGATTGATTAATTTTGGTGCTACTGTATTGACCGACTATGCATTGATTGGAAGCCAAATCATATTGTAAACAAAATAAACTTAAAATATATAATTGATTATGACTTGACTAAATACCTATTAGTTTTAATTAAAAATAAAAAAAATTTTTTATAAGTTCTCATTGAATAAAACTTTAGATAATGCAAGAGGTGTCGACTTGTAATTTTTAAAAATCTTACTAAAAAATGAAACAAATTTCTCTATTTTGTGAATTTACCACTTATTTGATTTAACAAGTCTTAAAATTTAAAAATACTAAAACTATATTTGAAACTCTTATACCTAATTTTCTATATTATTTTATATATTTTTTAGATAGATATTCTTAATTCAATTTATTTTTTAGATAGATATTCAATATACCATATTGATATGTCATCAATTCATAACAAAAAAACATATACAATATTGAAATAAAAATGCTAATGATTTGGTTTTAATGTAAGTTCAACTATTTCATAATTTAAGATATATATATAATATATATGTATTAATATAACTCATTCATCCATTCCAAAAAAACATACATACAATTAAGTTCTAAAGTTAATATATTTAATATTATAAAAAATTTCATTCAATTAATATCAAATTTTATTTTCATATTAATTTTTAAACATGTAAATTTATATAATTATTTATTTATATATTCCTATAAAATTAGGTGAATATATACGGTATTAAATTTAAAGTGACAATTATATCTTAAATATTCAATATAAATTCATGACTTAAAAGAAACAGAGAGGTTTTAATTGTTATAAGTAAAATTAAAATTGTTGATTTTGCCTATATCTTTAGAGAAGCAAAGTAGCAAACTATATTGTTGATTCTTTTAAGAAAAATTTGAAGTGAAAAAAACAAAATTATCTTATACCTATTAGTAATAGACTCTAAGGAGGTTAGGTTGTGTATATATTTTTTTAGAAATTAAATTGTGTATTATCAGATCTTGTTACAATTGTTTGTTCTATATGTGTATTAGAGCATTTTCTGATGAGATTTTTAAATTTTGTAATTTTTGGATTTTAAAAATGAAATTATCTTTTTGAATGAAAAATATATATATATATCACACTTTTTTTATTTTTTACTTTTATAGTTTTATTTTTAATAATCAAATCAAGATTATTTATTAAATTATAAATAAAATGATGATAAAAAATTATTTAGGGTGACTTAAAATTTTTATCAACTATTATCAATATTTTTGTAATCATGAAAATAAAATTTAAATTGTTGTCTAAAATTGTAATTATATTAAAATTTAAATAATATTATATTACAAAAAATTATGATAGATACAGTATCTTGTGCATAACATAAATATAAAACTTTAAATATTCAAATAAATAATATTTTATAATTAAAATTTTAAATTGAAAAAAAATAATTTTCTTGACTTTAAAATTTTGAAATTACATAATATTTTTAAATATTTGATAAAAATAAAAACTCTACTTTTTAATATTATAAAAAAAATCAAGATATTAAATATAATCATTTATTTATTATGTCAATATAACCTTTCACTATTTTACTCGTATAATTTACTTTAAATTAATAATATAATCATTTACATACTCGTGCATAGTACGGCTTAAAACTAGTTAAACTGAATAACTCCAACCCTGCGCTTGACATTACTACTACCAATGAAAAGGAACAACGGTGCAGTAATCAACGGCGCCGTTTTTGTTTGGTTTCTTTGCATGATCAAATTGGTCCTTGCCAACACGAAGTCCCCATCCCATATTCTTATTCCCTCATTTTAACAGAACACTGACCTGAAGCTAGCCGCAATTCCGTGAAAACGCTCAAAAAGTAAAAACTTTGATCCACGACAGCAAGGACTTTCTAGGGTTTGTCCATATCGGTAAGCGATGGCGATGGCTGCTCTCAGACGCGAAGGGAGGCGTTTCGCCCCTCTGATCTCTCCCCGCCCAATCACCGCCGTCCGATCCTCTCCTCCCGCTCTCTCTCACGAGTACGGATCTCATTTTCTCGATCTTTCACCTTCTCATCTTTCTCCGTCTCTCTGTGTATGTATATGTACATATATTCCTATCGCATTTCTCATAATTAACCTGATTTCTGCTTCGATGATTAACAACTCAGCCAAAAAAAAAAGATGTTTTGATTTTTTTTCCCATTTCCCCCTTATCTTTTAGGCCCAAGTGATGCATTTTCTCTTGCTTTCATGGTAACCAAACGGAAATCATTCTATTTCGCTCATTGGAATGACTAGAATTTCCAGTGTTCCTGAAGAAATGAAGCTTTTTATTATAATTTTGTGTTCATTTTTCCTTAATTTGCTTTTAGAAATGAGCATTTTTAAAGTAATTTTTAATTTATTTATCTGCTAAGGGAAATGAATGCATTAATTTTAAATGATTTTTTTTTTTTTGCCAATGCGATTGATACGTATCTAAAGTTGAGCTAAACAGTTGGTAGCGGTGTGTTTAATAATTTAAATTTTCAAAATAAGGAAAAAGATAAATGTATAAAAAAAATTGATTGAACCTTATAAGATTTATAACAAAATTTATAATTTCGCAAATTTCTTTTATGTAATTTGAACTACTAAATAAATTAACTTGGATCGCAGGGATGAGGGTCCTATTGGAGTTCGTTATGTTTCGACTCAAGTTGGTAAGAATTGTTTCCATTTTCTCTATTTCTTTTTAATATAATGTTACACATACATGCTTGTCGCGATTTCTTATAGAGTTAGGGTTCTTGGTGAAGGTTATAACTTAGGTGATGATCAATTACTTGTGCAGTTAGAAACAGGATGAAGAGTGTCAAGAGCATTCAGAAAATCACAAAAGCAATGAAGATGGTTGCAGCCTCAAAGTTGAGAGCAATTCAAACTAAAGCTGAGAATTCCCGTGGCCTCTGGCAGCCATTTACTGCACTTCTCGGTGATCTTCCCAGTATGTCCATTAACAAGCCTTTGATATGTATCCCTTTATAAAGCAAGCTCGGTTGAATTTGTTTGTGTTCTCACTGTGTTTTGCTTAATGTTTGTTATCTCAAGTTGTTAACTGTTAATTTGTGTGCTCTTTCATTTATGTTGCACTGGTGTTCTTGTTGTAAATCATATGGGGTCGTGACTTAGTTTTTCATCCTACCCTCTCTACCCAGAAGGTTTATACAAATTTAACTTTGATAATTGATTGATAACAGAATGACTTGAACAGGTTATGTGCACTTTTATAAATGCTTCTTAGTGTTATTTGGTTAAGAATTAAGTGAGTATATCCTTTATAGGCCCTAAGAGTAATATAGGTATATAATTTGTAGCAGATGGATTTTGCATTGAGAATACCTCATTGATTTTGTTTATTGGGGGAGTAATCACGATTCTAATTTCTCATAAAATCATGCTGTATGGTGGTATGTGTTTACCTGTTTGGCCTTGCTCTGAATGAATATAGGCTCTAAGGAGGCTCTGGTTATTTATAGAACTGGTTCTGTATTGATGTTACCTAGCTTGACTTATTTAATAACTAATATTACCTGGTTCAGGTTGAAATAGAGTGGTGTTCTATGCATAGTGGTGAATAATTAAGTTTTACAAAACTAGAAACTAATAGATTTACTCTCATTCTGAAGGGAAGTGTTATAGCTTTACCTGTAAATTATTTGGTTAATACCTTAAATAACATGCTTTTGAAATTTGCTTAGTTAAGGTTATAGGGTCTTTGCCTATTCACTCTCTTGTTTTATCCTTCTACAATTTATAATATTGTTTAATAATATTTTACTTATATCAAATGTATATTTTCTTGTCAGCCTTATTTTATTAATATGTATTGTCACAATTGTAGGTGTTGATGTCAAGAAGAACGTTGTTGTGACCATCTCTTCTGACAAAGGTCTCTGTGGTGGAATTAACTCTACATCTGTCAAGATAAGCAAGGGGCTCCACAAGTTGAACTCTGGTATATCTTCCAAGCAACTTAATCTTTTCTGCTTGTTTTCTCTCTTATTTGGTATCCTATTGGATGCTTCTTTTGAGTTAAATATCTTTATTTCCACAGGTCCTGAAAAAGAAACAAAATATGTTATTTTGGGAGAGAAGGCAAAGGCTCAATTGGTTCGTGACTCTAAGAAGGACATTGAGTTGATCATAACCGAGCTGCAGAAGAATCCTTTGAGCTACACTCAGGTCTGTCATTATGCTTTTATCTGCTATTTTCCAATGAAAGAACCTTTTTGTACAAGTTGAAATTTTGATAGCTATATTTGAATGCTGGATTCTTGCTTTAAGGCCATCCTTTGGTCACGCAGGAGCAGGATATTTTGACCTTATATCTTATGTTTTAGTAAATGACTGTTTGTTGACTGGTTCATTGCAATGTAGCGCAGGAAGTGGGTTCTATCATATTAAAAAAAATCTGGTCATATGATGAGCAGAGACCCATAATTATAGCATTTAATTTGATAATAGAGGATAATTAAGGTTTGTTGGTTGGCTGAGAAAGGAAAGGCTCCATTTTGAGGGCAAAAACACAAATAAAGATTCAACCTACTTGCTGGCCGGGGAAGTGAATAGTAGCCATAGCAGTAATTTAAGGTTGGGTTGAAGCTTTGAGGTTGTTTTGGTGTGGATTTGGTTAGACTTTGATAGATGGTAATTCTAGGGTTGAATGGGAATGCTCTAAGGCTGGTTATAATCTGTCAGAGTGTTGGAAAATAAAATTAAGAAGAGGATAATATCTGGGCTTCACACCTCCTCAGTCTTCACATCAAAGGCCTTTAAGGGTTTAACATATAGGGTTAGGAATTTCTTCACACAAGCCTAAGGAGCATACAGCTGCAAATTCGTTTATAATGGTTCTCTATTAAATGAACAAGCTAATGTATTCTACATATGTAGTTTTTTAGTTATCCTACTATTGCAATGAGTAGATTTCCAAAGCAGAAACTACCAAAATTGATTGAATAAAGTTATAAACTGTGAAGTAAAACATAATAATGGAATGAAACCTTAAATTGTCCTTTGGTCTCAAATTTTAGGATTTACAACATACAAGAATTACTGGAATACCACACTCATAAATCCAAGAAAACAGATTTTTTTTTAAATTGCAACTATTAACCTAGGAAACATAACATTAACAGTTATTAATATCAAATCTAGCTTAAATAATGCCCCAATTGTCTAACATCAAATAAAGACTGTAATTCTAAATTTTCTTGGAGTTGAATCTTGACTTTCCTCAATCCACCTTCCCTTATCTTTAATAAATTTTCCCTTTTCTGCTCAGTGTTGTAGATTGCAGTTGACTGTGTTAACCATCCATCTCTCTGGATGAACTGGAATTTTCTAATAGAAATGAATCTCTTTTTAATGCACTTTTTCTTTTTCTTTTCGCCATACTTACAAATAATTGCACCTTCAGGTCTCTGTTCTTGCTGATGAGATCTTAAAGAATGTGGAGTATGATGCTTTAAGGATTGTCTTCAACAAGTTTCACTCAGTAGTTTCATTTGTGCCAACAGTGTCAACTGTATTATCACCTGAAGTGAGTATGACCGGAATCATTCAGCTTGCTAGTTATTCTTTTTTCCTGTGTGAATATTGCTCTACTTTAATCTCTGTTTTTCTATTTGGTGATTTGTTCATATAGATTGTTGAAAGGGAGGCTGAATCTGGGGGTAAGCTTGGTGATCTAGACTCCTATGAAATTGAGGGTGGTGAGACAAAGGGCGAAATACTTCAAAATCTGTCTGAGTTCCAGTTCTCTTGTGTAAGTCCTGCTGTTTGAAACAAACGTCCTTATTTCATGTTACTCTGCATGAAAGTAGTATCACCAAGGCATGAACTATGAACAATTGAATATAACATTTAATGAACAAAAACCCATCTTTCCATTTTGGGAAGTTCACTTGATATCTTAGGGCTTAGAGAGCTGTATTACAAGAACCTCTTGTTGTGTACTTCTCAGTAATGGAAATTATTTCTATGATTTTGGAGATAAACACTCAATTGGTTAGGTTGCTATGGTTTTGATAGAGCTCTAAATTTCCTTGTTGACCACTGTTGTTGCGAATTCTGCTGACCAGTGTTGCCAGGGCAAGGCTTTTTACTATCTCTGTCTAACCAGTCTGAACAACCAAGTACAAACAGTTGTAGGAGAATTTGAACATCCATGTGCCTGTATTCTTGAGAATGCATAAGCCACCTTATTTTCTTACTAGTAAAAAATCTGTCAAAAAATGAACTTAAGGTATTTTTCGTCCTTTTCTATCTACTGTTATGTGCTATAATATCTGTAATGTACCATCAAAGGATTCTCAAATTTCTCCCAGGTCATGTTTAACGCGGTGTTGGAGAATGCTTGTAGTGAGCAAGGAGCAAGGATGTCTGCTATGGATAGCTCGAGCAGAAATGCTGGAGACATGCTTGATCGCCTTACTCTTACATATAACAGGTTTCCTCCCTCCCTCCCTCTTTCTCATGTACACATGCTTTCATGTGAATCGGTTTCTATAGTTAACTAGTATTTTTAGTCACCTGTGTTGTGTTGAGGCTCGTTTGGTTGTTTTTCCTTTTTATAGCTTATGTAGATATTTTGTGTCGTATTCGTATTGCAGAACCCGTCAAGCTTCTATCACCACTGAGTTGATTGAGATTATATCTGGAGCATCAGCACTGGAGGGTTAATTTGAAAAATTTTACTGCTAGATTTTTCTATTTTTCTGATGGTGATGAAATAAAATCACAGTGCCCTCCTTTCCTTCAGACTTCATGGTGCTACTTTTTGAATGTTTTGTTGAGCTACTGCAATAATCCCCTAGTGTTAAAACAAAATTCATAACTGGGAATCAAAATTACATTTATGATGATTTCAGCAGTCGTTTGATTCGTTCTTTCTTGAAATATGTACCTGAGTATGCAAAACAGAAATTCCATAATATTGGAAGGCTTTTCCCGTGTAAAATATTCACTTGTATCCCTTGCTCTTTATCGCTATTTTCTTCCATCATTCCATTTTCCTCTCATCATATGTAATGTAATTATTCTCGGGAAATTCAGATGTTGATACTACTTAGCTATGTCATGCATTTCGGGTATATGAGCGAAAGAGGAATGACAGTCATGTAAACGAGGAATATGTTACGGACAGAAAACTGGTAAATTAGATTGTAAATGGTGTAGGGTGAAGTTTGGCACAAACTAAAGATAGTAAATTATATTCACCATGACTTTGGGATACATTTTTTGGTAAAAAAAAATTGGTGTGAGTGAATTCAGAGTGATGTGTTTGTCATCTTTAAGCAATGAAAAGTCGTACTGAAAAGAACATCAAGGGTTTGAGAGCAGACATGGTCTACTATATTTCTCTGGTAAATTTTATGGGTTCTGCAAGAATGAAAGGATTATTAAACATCGCAGTATAAGGAAAATGTCACGACAAAATGAATTTGAAAAAAAAAAAAAGGACAAGTTGCATGCTGTGGCAGTCGGAGTCAGCTTATTGAAAGAGTTTTGGTTGTTTGCTTTCGCACAGAAGGCGGAACACTTTTGTTGTGTTCTGAAACTACTGTTGGAGAGTAGGTGATGAATGGTCGTAGTTGTGGGTAAGGGTAATGATGATGCAGGTAAATGTGGAAGAAAAAGAGGGGAAAATAGTAGAAAATTATGAAAAAAAAAAAAAAGGGCAAAAGAGAAGCAGATAGAGAAAGGACTGAAAATTCAATTTCAGAATTGGGATGCGTTGTCCTTTCAACGTGATTCCAGCTGACAGCCGCTTCCATTTGCATTTTTATTTTATTTTTTTCTGAATTGTTTTTTTGTTCACTTTTTAAATTATTTTTATAGCTTTTTTTTTTTTTTTAGTTTTGAAATATTGTGTGTATTTTAATATTAGATAATATTATTTAATACCATGAATTAAATTCTATATTCAGGCAAATTAGGTTGAAGTAAAATAAATCTAAAAACAAAAATAAAATAAATAGTCTCAAACTTTTTTATCTTGGTTCCATAGAAGCAAGTGGAAAGATTGAGAAATAAAATCATTTGATATGATTCATTCTCAATAATCATGATATGATATCTTAGAGTGACCTTTTTGTCAAAAAAAAAAAAGGACATTTACATAGAAAATTCTAAGTATTGTATATGTTATTAGTCTAATATTACATCTATTAATAACGAACTTGAAAATTGATATTTAATATATTAATATATATGTTGACAAAACTTTTAATATCAATTTAAGATATATTTGATATATAAAATTATGATAAAATAAAATAAAATTATAAAAAATTTAATTAAATAATATTATTTTATTTTATATTTGATGTATATAAAAATTAAAATATAATAAATTTATTTATTGATTAAAATTATTTTTAAAAAAATTTATATAATTTAAGTTATTGATATAATTTTTAAAAATGTTATAAGATATATAAATTTAATTTTATAAATTAAAAATATTTTTTTACACTTTAAAAATATTAAATAATCTTATACAAAATAATTAATTTTTTTATAATATTTTTTAAATATAAATAAAAAATAAGTATCATTTTTGCTTATCTATCCAACCTAAAATTGGTGGACATATTGCAAGGAATATAAAATCTAAACGCGGAGAAGAAAATTTAATGGAAAAGGAAAAAGTTTGACTGGCCCACTTCAAAGTTAAATCAGTTTCCTCTGAGTGTCACTTTGAAAATTACCCCAATAAACTCACAGCCACAGTTTCTCTTTTTTGGAACAAAGCAGTCAAAAGCGTCATCAATGGCAGTCACAGTTGCTTGCAACTTGCGCATCTACGAAGCCGACTTAAGATCGAAATACCCATCTTTCGATCTTTCTGGTCTCGTTGAACTACGCATCCGATCAAGATATCAACTGCGGATCAAGACTGAGAAAGGACTCCAATTTCTTATTGACGATGTGACCACCCCTGAATTTTGCACCTACTTTGTCATCCCTTCGGTGTTTCTTTTCTTGGAAGTAAGCGAGTTGTATGTTGAGAACATGCTTCTGGACTCAGGGTTCGATGATGGTGCACGCAAATTCTTGGTTCCAAAGATAGCAGAGTTTGCTGTGGGTGTGGCTGAACGAAGGAGGGACGGTAAACTAGATCAAGGGTACGCCACGGTGGCCGAGATGGGGGTTTTGCAAGCTGATTTTATTGAAAAGCAAGAGGTTTCCAGGATTGCAAGCAACTTGAAAGGGTTTGGAACGTTCGATGTTAACGATGATTCAGACCTTTTCAATGGGAGATCGGATTTTGTTGCAGAGATTGATCATAGTCTTTCTTTATCTTTCTAATGAACAATGTTTTTCCTAAACATTGTAAATTATATAGTGAAAATTCATGTAACTTATATATTTTAATAGTCTGAAAATAAAATTAAAAAAAAAAATACAATTGTTGAGATTCAAATCTAAAAATGAATGTCTCTTCTTAATCAACTTAGCCAAACTCTTTGTTCTCAAATAATCCTTATTTGTGGCTTGTAATTTGTCCTATCATCCTTGTTTTTCAAATGCTTGTAGATGTTACCAACTGCATTTGTCTAATTTGTCTTGATTTCGAGCTTGTCCGAAAGCCATGTCTGTCTCACTTCATGATAATTCCTGAGTATGCCCAAATCTTTTTCTTGGGTTCTTTTATTTTTTGGGTTATTTTATGTTTTAAAAAATCTATATGAAATAATTACGTTACATTAGAATTTTTTTATTTAAATTATATTATATAATTATATCATTAAAAAAATTTATTTATTATAATTCACATATGATAGTAAATATTAATTTTAATAAATTAATTATTCAATAATAAATAATTAAATTTTTTAATGATATAATTATATAATATGATTTGAATAAAAAAAAATGTGTTGATATAACATAACAATTTCACACAATTTTTTTTCCTTTTATGTGTTGAGCTTCCTCAAATTCTTAAGCAGATCCCACGAAGAATTGCCTTAAATTTTGCATAATAATTGGACTTTTTTTAGGACTTTTTGTCCCCAATTACGCAGTTAAAATGCTATCCAAATATATTGGCACGAGAAATTAGTCCTTAGAATTTGTCTATTTCAAACTTATTTAAAAAAGAAAAAAATTTTCATATAAAGGTATCGGGTCAACCCGAATTCTAAACCCAATTCTCTTGGGTCTTCACCAACCCTGTGTTAGGATGTGTAAATTACTCCTAAAAGAGATGCATATTGGTAATTTGGATTATTAGTTGTTGGCCGAGGAGAGAGGGCGTAGTGAGCAAAAAGGCCCTCCAACAACTTGAGCGAAAATACTAACAGAGCGGAGAGATCAGAAAACATAGAATCAAAGAGAAAGCCATCATCACTCACGAACAAAGCTTTGCGAAAGCTACAAAATCTTCTGCATTCTTAAACGACAACAGTAAGCTTCGTTTCGTGTCCTTTTTCTTTTCCTTTTTGGGTTCTTCATTTGTTACTTTCTGCATGTTCTTGTGTTTTATTTTTCTCATTCTTTCTTTTCGGTGATAATTCTATTCTCTGTTTCCGTTTATTTGGTTTGCTGAGAAAATGAGAGAAATTTGCTTTGTTGTGCTGGAAAATTCTCTCGATCTGGATTGTTGTTCATGTCTTGTGTTTTTTTATATATTATATTATTTTTTAAAAAATGGGTTGTTATGTTTCTGCTGAATATGGCTAGTTTAGTATGTCATCTGATTAAATTTTGATTCTTTATGCATTGGAAGATTTTTGCATTACTGTTTTGGATTGTTGGAAACGGATAATTTTGATGGAAGGCTTGGCAATTTCACGAATCATCCCAATTCAAGCTTCTAGTAGACGGCATTTCTCTGCTTTTCTCCCTACATTTTCATTGCAGTCAAGGAAAAACTTGAATAGCTGTCAAATTTGGATGATGAAACGTCCTAAGTCGTTGGATCCCATTGCTGCATCAGTTCAACCATTAGAAGCCTCAACTACTGGCCACTTTGATAATAAGCAGCCTTCCAAAGGTTTTTGTTATCTATAGCTCAAGTGATCTTATATTGCCTTAGTTGAGTTCCCATGGTTTTTGGTAGAAAACAAGAAATGGGTTTAAATTGAAACTTAGAGTGGTTTTTGAATTTTATGAACTTCAATGATGAATGCTTGAACCTGGTTAGGGATTTAATTTGGTCAGCTTTTTAAATTAACTTTTCAATGTCTTGTAATAGTAATAGTGGTTGCTTTTATTGATAGTCACCTTTATTTTTTTTCAGAGGTTCTGGAGCTGTGGAGAAGTGCTGATGCTGTTTGCTTTGATGTGGATAGCACGGTATGCGTAGATGAGGGCATTGATGAACTTGCTGAATTTTGTGGGGCTGGAAAGGCTGTTGCAGAATGGACTGCTAGGTTGGTTGTCCACATTTATTTTGAGTACTTCAATTTCTTTGATGTTGTAGATCATAGACAGGTGATTCTGGTTTTGATTGGTATTGGTAGAGCAATGGGTGGTTCTGTTCCTTTTGAGGAGGCCTTGGCTGCCAGATTGTCTTTATTCAAACCTTCCCTGGCTCAAGTCCAGGATTTTCTTGAGAAAAGGCCCCCAAGGTATGAGGCTTATACTTTACTGTCTTGACCTTGATATCTTCTTCATATCGCTATGATGCTTCTGAATTGTGGATAGTTTTTAGAGTTGGATTAGTACATTGGGCTAAAAAGCCATGACTTGTTTGAACCTTACAATGTTCAATATTTGCTTTAAATATTGTGACATCTTTTTATATTTTGTTTTATTTTTAAAGTTTGCCAGGTTGCTCTTGATGCCAGCAAAATAAGTTTCATTTTAGCTCCTTCATTATTTTATTGTTGTTATATTATAACCAACAAAATTTTGCAGTTCCTAGTCGAGCACCATTGTCTCTAAAACATCCATCTTAACATTTAACCAAGTTCTTACATATTTCAGAACCTTAATCCTAATGTTTCGTGGCCAACCGCCTAACCAGGTTACCGAAGTTAGGGTTTTGGAATAAAAATCTAAGTTTAATTAATATACAACCATGAATTGCAATGTTACAAAATTACATGACCAGTGCTTCTCATTTTAAGATTTTGATATTGCGATTCATATAATGGTCATTATTCGCCAAAATTTCAGATTAACTTGCATAATACTTGCCCCCTGGATAATGGCTTTCTTGAATGTTGATATGTCAACATTTGGCAATACTCTAAACCAAAACTATGATTTTCTCTAAGAATATTATTACATAAAAATAATTATGGAAGGGTATCAACACCTTGATGAATAAACCATTTTTGAGTTGTATTCTTTCTGTTACAATATCCCTTTGTGTTTGCCTTATTTTTTTGTCTTCTCTTCGACATGATGATTGCCAAATAATTCATGAGGCATTCTGAAAAAGAGCCATGTTCATTATTCTTATTGATCTGTAGGGTTTCTCCTGGCATAGAAGAATTAGTCAAGAAGCTGAAGGCTAGGAATACCAACGTTTATCTAATCTCTGGGGGCTTCCGCCAAATGATCAATGTATGCAACTATTCTTCTAAACACTGGAAAGACCATCTATGTTCTACTTCTTTCTGTTAAGGCATTCATGTGGATTTTCGTTTTTCTAATTAACTTTAATAAATATAGATCTGAAATCACTTCTAATATTTTGAAGGTATTGAATATCGAAACTGGAAAACATGAGGCTTGTGCGTAACAATTAAACACAAAGTGGCAATCCTTACATGACATTAAGTCCTATACAGACAGCAGATGCTTACTTGGGAAAAACCTATTAGATTTAATACCATTTAAGTATGATACTATCTCTGGAAAGAACATTATGATTTCCTGTTCTTTAATTCTTTAAACGTGTTGAAGCCGAGGGAAATCAGTGCTTAAGAGAAAATCCTAAGCCTTAAATACCTTCATTTCTAATGCTTAGATGGGTAATGCTGTTTTACAAATAAACAATGTGGTAAATGATCTGATGTTCTGCTTTATGAGTTTAGAGTCAGTATACAGCATGTCGGTTCCTTACTAATGAAAGAGGCATGTCATTGGATGTTAATAACATCTTTGCAATGATTAATATGCTACTCCTGTCAGAAGATAGTTAATTGAGATTTTTTTTTTGTAGCCTGTTGCATCAATCCTTGGAATTCCACAAGAAAACATTTTTGCCAATCAACTGCTCTTTGGAAGTTCTGGGGAGTTCCTGAGGTTTGATGCTAATGAGCCTACTTCAAGGAGTGGAGGAAAAGCTACTGCTGTTCAAAAAATAAGAAAGGTGAGTCTTGTGGCTGCCTTTTGTATTGGCTGGCCAAAAATTAGATTACTGAGTCTGATTAAAGAAACTTTTCAGGTTAAGGGATACAAGGCATTAGTCATGATTGGAGATGGTGCTACTGATCTTGAGGTTAGTAAATTCATCTGAGCCTCTAAATATAGTTAATCTTTATTTAAGGGTTTGAGAGAAGTTCATATTTAAACACATATTTAAACCTTCCCTCTGACTGGCATTTCTGTGCATGTTAAGAGTTAGATCCTTTCACGTTCAATGTGCTTTAAACGGCTTTATAAAGTGTCTCTAACAGACCTCTGTATCCGTGTTGTTTGGAAAGAGAGTGTAGGAAAACTGCTATAAGGCTGTTCAATGCAGAAGGGCCATTTCTGATTTTATTTACTGATATCTTCATTGCATTTTAGCTGCATATCATCTAATCTAATTCAATGGGATTTTCACATTTTCTCTTATTTTCACCATTTTGCTTCAAACATAGGCTCGTAAACCAGGAGGTGCTGACATGTTTATTTGCTATGCTGGTGTTCAACTTCGGGAGGCTGTTGCAGCAAAAGCCGATTGGCTGGTCTTTACTTTCACAGATCTTATAAATGCCTTGGACTAGCTTCTTTGCTTTCTGATTTCTATCCTTTTTTCTGGTTACAAGTTTCATGCACGTGCGTATTACGCATGCATTCTTAACATTTGCTATGCCTTAAGTGTATAAAACTCAAAAAAAAAAAAAATGAAGAGTGGTTGTTTGAGGAGTTTTATTATATAAAAGAAATTAGATTGTAATCCATGTGATGTATCGAATAATTTTATTTATTTTAAATGTATATACATATAAATTAGTATTCTTTTACTTAAATGTTTGAAAAGATAATTTTTATTTGATACAAAGTAAGATAAAATAATATAATGAATTTTTGAAAAATTCAAATAAATTTAATATTTATAATTTTAAAACATATTGAAGATTTTTATAATTAAATAATTTATAAAATAAGGTTATTTGATAAAAAATTAAAATTATTCGGATAAAATTTATATTTCAAAATTTTAATATTAAAAAAATATTTTTCTAGATTAACTTGATTTATATTTATAATTTGAATAAATTTAAAATTTGAATAAACTTAAAATTATTCAATTTGTAATTAAAATAAGTTATGCTCTTTAAAAACCATCTTACATGTAATTTAAATAAATTATTTATATAAGCTTTCATGTGATAAATTTTATCAGGTATTTATGAATATTGTAATATAATAATATATAGATATGCAAATAATAGATTAATAAAATAAAATAAATCATAAAATTATAAAATTTATTGATTCATAAATATTCTATAAATCTATTAATTTATTTTTTATAATAAATTCTTAACAAACAAGAGAGTCAAGCTTTGTAGGAAAATTTTTTTTCATAAGCAATTAAAACAAGTCAATTTTTATAGTATTATAGCAGAAATTAAGAAAAGATTATCCCAAATTTTAAACAAAGCACAAAAGGGTTAAGATTACTCATATACAAAGACAAAAATAAATATCATGAGTTCATGACTTTGGATGTATTACTACACTAATGATGAGCTCTGATCCATAGGGATTATAGCTTCTTTTTTTTTTAATAATATCAAAGCACAGAGATCAGTCAGTCATTCTTATTATGTATTCTCATTTCTTATTTTTAGAAAATTAGAAAGTGATTAGTTCTTTTCAATGGCATATCAGATGTACCTGCCTTCTGCCTTTTGTTTTTTGCCTTTTGCAAAAGATGCAAAGAAAGGCAAAAAGGCCAAATGGGAAAAAGGCTAAAAAATTCTTTAAAATCCATTGGAGAGGTTCTATACATACCAGAAAACTTTTATAGATTTCAATACTTCTTTTAGTAATTTATGTATCTTTTAATAAATTATATTTTTAATCTTTTACACCCCTTTTACCAATTTTCTTTTTTGAAATTAAAAACCTTAAATTAATTAGTTTACAAATCATAAAAATTTGAAACAATTTTTAGATATTGTAAAAATAGATAGCAAAATAAGAAACAAAATTGAAGGGGAAGCAGCTCGAAAAAATAATTCGTTCAAATTTATTTTGAACTGAAATTTTGATGTTTACAGAAATGAATATTGTATTATTAGATATGTATATTCGATATATTTTGTTATAATATAAAAAATACATGTTAGGTAGTACAATATTGATTTTGGATATACATATTCAATAATATAAAATATGTTTAAATATGCATATTTAATAACATAAAAATTTTCAAATATATATATATATATATGTATATATGATAATATAAAATTAATTCTTGTATCTTCCCCTAATGATATTATTATAATTTTTTAACATCTTGTAATAAGTAGACCAAATTGAAAATCGTATCGATGGAGTGAAATCAATGATAAAAGAATTTAGATACTATACAATTGCATGGATTCAGTTACTAAAAAAAAAGTAAGGTTATGTTTTGAACCTCAATTTCACATTCCAAATTTACCCAATTTTTTTTTTTATAATATCTTTTATAAGCCCTAGATTATTAAAGGAAAATCTAATATAATATTTGAATTAAAAATGTTTGATAAAGTATCACTCTTTTTCTTCTCATCTCATCTCTTTTCCTCTCTTCTCAATTCCTCTCTCTCTCTCTCTTTTAATATTTAATATTTTATAAATTTTAGATTTTAATTTAAAAAAATATAGATTTTAAAAAGTTTTAATTTTTTCTATATATATTTTTAAAAAATTAAATTTCATTTTTAAATTAAGACATATGAAAGTAGTATCATTATCAATTACATGCCATCCACATATGTAATATTTATGAAAAGTATTAAATTTTCTTGGTTAATTGTCACGTATTGATTTATGTTAAAGGCATCAGATGAGGAGACAGATAGATACACACATTAAATTTTAAGGAATTTAGTTAGATATTTTTTAATTCAAATTTCATACTAAATTTTTTTTAATAGTTAATCGCAGAAGACATTTAAAAAAAAAAAATAGTGGTAGTTATTTTCTGTTCGAGATGGTAGAAATTTCGGGACCCTTAGGCCGTGTGTTAGGTTTATATAGTTCACATTGTCACCCACCAAAATATTAGAATGAATAAGAAGCATGCTCCTTAAAAAAAAAAAAAAAAAGGATAAATATTTGAAAAATAGTGAAAATTTGAGCTTTTATTTTTTGATAAATAAATTAGGTGCATTGTCCACATGAAAATATTTGATATATTACCTAAATTTTATAAAGGGAGAAATGAAGGGTACTGTTCTTGCAAGAGACCTACCTTAACAAACTCAAATGGTTTGGGATTTAGGACTTCAACAATATTTCAACTGAATTTTTTGCCATTTCTATGTTATTAAAAAAAAAAAAAACACATCTATTGATAATGAAACTTTTAAATTTTCCAAATAATATTAAAGTCAAACGTATTTTTTAAAATATAATAATAATTAAAATAAAATTAAAAAATTTTAGTAAGCACAAATTATATTATATATTCTTAATTCTTATATAGATTTTCTAGGTTTGGCGCCCTTGTAGGCTGATGTTTCCTAAAATCCTAGGATAAAAACCCCTTACCATTAAAATCTAAAAAAAAAAAAGCATGAAATTCAGGTGATCCATTTTCTTATATTAGGAATTGACTAACTTGGTGGCCTTGCTTGGCTTAATTGGTCCACAAAAAAAAAAAAAATTATAGTAGTAGTAATTTTATCTCATCCTCCTTTTCTTAATATATAATTATTTAATTTATTGTTAATAAATTTTTAAAATTTTATCAATAAATTTAGTAAATGAAATTTATTTTTTATAATATATTAAAAATAATAAATTAATTAAAAAAATACGGTAATCTATTAAATTGATTTGTAAAATTAAAAAATTTAGGAGGGTGAAAGAAATTTTTAAAAAATAATATAATAAATTTTTTTTTAGAAGCCCTTTGTTTGATTTTATTGTGAAAAAAACTACAAGAGGAATGCCGAACAGGAATGGCTGCAGGACGCAGGTGAATGTAGCCCGTGTAGATAACAGAGCATAACAAAGCAACGGGTCTTATTCTTTAAAGGAATCCCAATCTCAAAGATTCAACAATAACAATTACATCTTCTTTGAAATTTGAGTCTGCTAGATTTTGCTTCACAAGTTAAGTGGTTCTCAAAATTAAGTAAGACCCTTTTTCCCTTTTGTCTTCTTGTTATAGTTGAAGCGGCAAAGCCTTTTTATCAGCTTCATTTTGGGTGCAAACGGATTCCTTCTGTTGATATGGTTTTGCAGTGCTGAGGTTGTTTGCAAATGGGTAAAGCTTGGATTTTTACAGCATTTTCGGAACCGGCTGTTTCTTTTGGGGTTGTTGTTGTTTGTGACATCTAAGCTGTTTGTCTTAGGAAATGGATTTTGTTCATTTATGAGTTTGTCCGTCTATAGTTTGCTTTCTATTTGAATAATGTTTAGGCTTTTGACAGCTTTTCGGTTTGCTGTTGTTTGTGACGTAGTGTTTGATTGTCTGAAGATTATAGATTGAGGGAGCTGATATTTGTTTGTCCCTTCAGTTTTGTATTTGTTGGTTTATCATTTCATTGTTTCTTTAAATTTCCGGAGGAGTTTCCATCTTATTCTGCACATTGTTTTCCGTTTTATGAGAATTTAGTTATTGTCAGGGAAGCAAAAGAGAAAATATATTTTCCTTGAATTGGACCTTGCATTGTGATTGAAGAAGACTTCGTTCTCTATTTGATTATTGTGTTGAAGTGCTAAAGGGTGTTTGACTTGTGAGGCCAAGGATGTTTTCTTTTCAAACTTGGATTCATGGAAATTGTTGCTTTGAGGTTTTGGATGTTGAGAATTGAAATAAAGGTAAACTTTTGTGCTGTCAAACTCGGGTAGTGTTTCTGAAAATTTTGTGGATGAGTAGAAATGGATTCATGGCTTGTTGCAGCAGTAGCAGCTACTGGATATTTTGCCAAATATTGGCAAAATCTTTCACGGGATAAGAATGGCTATCCAAAGTTATTTTCTGTGGATTCAAGAATTGGAAAGGCGGATTCTGGGAAGGGTCCCTTCCACAAATCAGCTCGGAGAAGAAAACTCCAGGAAGATGTTTCTTCAGAAGGAAGACAGGTTTCAGATAGTAAACTTTCTGATATTTATAGACAAAATGTGGCTTCAGCTGCAGAAGTCGATTCCGCTAGTGGATTTGATAGTGAAAAGGTGGGAAGCTTGGGAAATCACATGGATCGCAATGTAATTTCTCAATCAAGTTTATCACCTGGATTCTTGAGGAATGAAAACCTAGGAAAAGATCAATGTGGAAAGGGGCTTGGTGCTAATAGTGGTGGTAATTCTGCTAAACCTTCTATCACTAGAAAGGAATCTTTTAATGTGTCTATGAGGAAAAGAAGCTCTCTTAAAACTAAATATTCATATGGACAGGTACATAAGCCTCTAACTTCCTTAGATAGTTGCCTCATGGCTCAACTATACATGCAACATGTTAAAATGGAAGAGTGCATACTTAGTTCGCCTCCATCACTGCCAACTCCAATCTTGAGACCATTGCCCTCCTTCACTGATGGAAGTAGAATAATCAGCAGAGCAATTGGCGAGTTTCCTAATGAATCAAATGGAATGGAGGACAGTAAGTTGCATAATCAAGCCACTTTTGAAAAGAGTGGACATGTGTTTGGGATTCCTCCATTGCCAGAAATCAAGTCTTTGAATCTCCCCAAGAAGTTGAAATTTAAGAGAGGAAATGGGTGCGACAACAGACTGAGCATTCCTTGCAAAATGGATACCGAAAAACAGTTTCATTCACAATGTTGTATGTCCTTACGATGTTTTTCAATTTTCTTTTTACCTTTTATATCAATACTAATTTGAAAATATAAGGGGTTTTCTTAATACTTGCATATACTTAGAAGTCAGTAAACATTTTATTTGATTAAAATTTAGAAGAAAAATAAGAAGTTGTTCTTATTACCAATCGCTATTTTATATTGCGTAGTTTATTTATATGTTTTTTGCTAAATTTGTTAGATATTGAAAGAAAAACAAACCAAAAACATGTATTTAGTGTAGGTTAAATAAAGAGTACAAGCATGGTACGATCATATTTGCAGATGTCAAAACAGTTACAACTGCTCCATTCATTTGTAGAGCTCAGGAGTGTCACTTTTCTTTTATTTTTGTATGTCTTTTGTTTTGTAGGGGGTGAGGGAAGGCATATCGGGGTGGTAAAAAATTTTACCAATTAGTTGGACCTCCCAAAGTTCAAAAAAGAAAGGAATAAAAGTAGAATCAATTAGGTTTTCTCAATCTTTATCATGAGTTAAACTGCATTAGAAACAGATTCTTATACTTTAGTTCTATTTTACTCAGACTCTGGAGTGAGTGTCAGATACGGGTTTGAGTTTGACACAGGTGCATTCCATTTTTTCTGAGTTATTTCTTATATTTGGAGGGTTGGACTTCCAGACCCATGTCCATTGAGAAAATGTCTCGGACACAGGTACTTCAAAGAAAATGAAAAGTCAGAGGGATGTTTAATGCCTTTTGAACCATTTATTTATTTTGGCATCTCATAAGTTCTTTTCAGAAATCAGTAATTTATGAGATAAGCATAACCTTGATGCATAAGAACATGATTTGCCATTAAATTTACTTTATTTGTCTTTTGTTCCCAATTCTGCATATAAGTATGTCTCCCTTGCGTCATTGCACCAGGAGCAATAGTATTTCCAATAGTATGTAACTGTCACTTGTTATATTAGATGTGTTTGTTTTAATACTTATATTCATTCATTATACTATGATTTTTCTATTGTAGTCTAGTTGACTGCATGTCCTAATCCTTTTAACTTAACAGATACACATGATGGAGCGGTTCTGATTTTTCTTGGGATTTCCATTGCTATGATATCTTCTTACATAGGAAATAGAAGGGAATTGGAGAAATTGAGAGAATTGTTGAAGCAGACAGAGAACTTGGTTCAAGATCTTCAAGAGGAACTTGAGATGAAAGATTCATTGACAATGAAGGAGCTAGCTAATGAGAATTATGAATCATGGGGGACATATGAAAATTCCTTTCAAGACAGGGCAACAAATTCATCTTCCCTTGAACAGAATATGAATAATTCAACAAGATATGATGGTAAAGGATCATATAATGAAAAGGTAGAGGAAAGTTCAGAGTCTTTGAGTAAAATTGAAGCAGAGCTTGAAGCTGAACTTGAGAGGTTGGGTCTTAACATTAATGTATCTAATCTGGAGAGAAAATTGTCTGATCTTGATGAGGTAAGCTTGTGTTTATCTTAGCATTCCCCTGGAGCTCTATTGATAGTTTAATGAATGCTTTTATTAATTGCATTTGCGTCAGCCCTGTGTATAACTGCACCCTGTCTCATATGGGATTTTCTCAGTTTATTGAATAGATTTCTCTTTTAAATATCATGGGAGGATTATTGGTTTACTGAAGACCACTAACAAATATTCTTACAAAGAACTTCAATTAGTGCTTGTTTACTTTGGAAATTTTTCTTGAGAAATCATTATGAAACTACATTGACTGAATTTCCTGAGAGAAAGCCATTTCTGATTCTCAATTTAATATTTCATGCTTGATGTCAAATCTTGAAAACTAGAAATATTTGGTCATGTAATTTGGTTGTTTGAAGCTGGATGGTACTTTATCTGTGTTGTAGCAACGCCAACTAGAAACCAGTAAGTCCAAGACTTATAAGGATGAAAAAATAGAGATCAGGGTGAAAACCTCTTCCCTATTGCATGCGGCAGTGGTCCAAACACTACTCAATGTGTTATTTACAAAGGAGTGGAAGGGTATTGTTAGACTATTGAACCATGAATTTCTTGTATGGATATCTGCCGATTTAGATGAATTTGGCTTCTTGTTGGAATTTAGTTACAAGTTTGTCAGATTGTGTTTCATTTGCATATCTCTAGGGGCTATTTATACTTTCTACTCTCTTACCAGTTGATTTGGCTGTCATAGCCGCTTGATTCTTTGAACATGACATTTCTGTATGTTGAATGTTTCAAATATTTTATAGTAGTTACAAGCAAATAATAATAAGCTTAATATGATGGAAAGAAGGACCAAAGACAGAAAACTTCCATTGTGAATTTATTCTAAGAAAGTGTAGTCGTTTCTTTCTGTATATGTAATATGAAGATATTGTCTATTTAGCTTGGTAATTCTACTGAGCTGTTTTGCTTTGGCATTTATTTTTTTTCCTTCCTCACAAGCTTTAATACAAATAATTCATGCAGCTTGACCCAGATTTTGCTGAAGGTGAATTGAGATCTGATATGATCAATGGGCAGGCTCTTGTCCAATTTGTGTCAAATGAAGATAGAAGTGGCACCTCAACTACTCGTTCTGGAAATTATGCAGTCTCACCTCGAGAGTTGAGCTTGCGACTACATGAAGTCATTCAAGCAAAGCTTGAAGAACGTGTACAGGAACTTGAGACAGCCCTTCAGAACAGCCAGAGGAAGGTGAAACTAATGGAATCAGAGCATAAGAATTCTCGGAAGAATTCTGACAGTGAATGGAAATATTCCTCTACCCTGGAGAGTCCGCTAATAAATGAAGAGTTCGATTGCATGTCCAATCCTCTAGTTATGAAATTATCAGGGGAAGCTCTAGATGCATACAATGAAGCTTGTGAAGAGTTGTTGAAGGAAGATGAGCTGGAAGAAGACGATTCAGCATCAGATATTTATCAAAATAACCATCAAGAGGAGCTGCATAGGTTTGATGGAGACATATCTTGGGGCGGTCAAAATGTTGTAGGTGGCTCCTTGCGGCATCTTACGCTGTATGCAAAGAATATATCGGAGGAGCCTTTTTATTGCCAAGGAAGAACATTGGGGAAGCAACCCTCTAGCGTCCAGGAATTACTTGATGTTGGTGTTAGTGAAGATGATGAATGTAGTGATTGTGATGATGAGATGGAGAAGCAACTGATACAGCACATTGTGGAGAAAACCAAGAAAGGATCTCCTGTACTGCTAAATGCACAGAGGATATTGTTTTCCATGGATGAAATTTAACATTGCGAATGGATTAAAATGAGAAACCAAATTTTTACAATGTATACATTCATATAGAAGGAATTGTATTTTTAACCAAAGCAATTTCCCATTCATTATTTGAATTCATTATGAGCTAAATATATAAAACTGTAGCAAATAAATTTCCCAAAATTTTAATGATTAATGACTCCAGGACTAATTTCTTCCAACCAGCCACCTTTACAAAAGTGTGTGTAGGTGAGGAGACGGGTGGGAAAATAAAGCAGCAACCTGGAACATAAATTATTTTCCTGAAGGAATATTCAGTTTTCTCTATGAGAAACACTCAAAAGTATCAAGGTTTAGAGAGACCAGAGTCACATAAATGACAAATAAAATTAGTTCAGAGAAAGAGTGATGAGGGAAAAAAAAAAAAGGAAACTAGAACAATCTACTATTAAGGCAGGGTAGCAACAAGTTGACCCTCAACCAACCGAAAAGGCTTAGTTCATGCCCTTTTGGCGAAGTCACCATTATCATTGTCCTCATCCCGGAAGTTCTCATTCAGAGGATCATTTTGGTCAGAACCTCCTGTTTCCTCCTTGAAGCCATCTTCAGCACTACCGAGTTGATCACCACCACCAAATCCAACATTTTCACCTCCATATCCACCTGAACCAGTAGCAAAACTATCACTGCCACCACCACCACCAGCAACATTGAAACTCCCACTATCATAATTATTTGCAGCAGATTGACCAAAATTACTTCCATAGCCAACACCACCGGTGCCATAGTTACCACCACTGTAGCTTCCTTGGCCTCCATAGTTCCCACTGCCACCACTGTTACCATATCCAACATCACCTCCAGAAGGTCCAGCATTTCTGCCATAGCCCCCACCTCCATAATTACCACCGCCGTAGCCACCACCGCCATAGCCACCACCTCCATAGCCGCCGCCACCGCTGTAGCCACCACCACCATAGCCACCACCTCCAAAGTTACGAGGCGCTCTCTCAGCTGCATAGTTTACTCTTACTTGACGGCCATGGAGAACCTACACCAAGAATTCAGACAGACAAATACCTATCAACCAAAAACTCCCACAAATCAATATATAAGAACAGAAGCTATTATCTTAAGCCTGTGCAAAATCCAACAAGGTCGACGAAGATAAAACAAATCTTTTCATGCATTCTTATTTAAACCAGACAGATTAACTCAAAAAGATGATAAAACTAAGTGTGAGAAATCTACATTTAAACATACAAGTGCAAATTAAGACTTAAAGAACTTAATTTTTAAGAAAAGAAAATTATTCATAAGTTGAGACCATTAAGCAAATTTATTGTGGAACTTGTACTGAATGGAACAAAGCAAAGAAATGGAACCCATCTGACGGAAAAGATTTAAGAGTTCTTCTGTTACTTGCAGATCAGAAAGTGATCCAAATAAGATGGCAAGGGCACATTAGTTATATTATGAACATTGAGGCCAAAACAGAGAAGACACTATGTTTTGCGATGCTGATAGTGATTTTGACAGAGCATATATTAACATATAAATAAATTTTAGATGCCATAATTTTAAATCAAGAAGTCTGCACAACAGGTATATTTCTGCTTTAAAAAATGATCTGGAATGGGGCCTAAATGCACTTTGCCAGCACAATGCAGAAGCTTTCACCAAACTTCCAGCACCATGAAAAGAATAAAAGACCCCAGAGGATTACAAAATGCAAAGAATTGCATCATATTCTAATTTTGATCCCTCTTTACAGGGCTGTATACACCTATGACAATATCACATTTTCTCCCCTTATGTTTAGGTAATGAAATAATGCACTCTAACCAATTCCACAGCTATTGAATAGAAGCTTGATACAACTAGCTTTTATCAAATTTGCTTAATGAGGAAGACCACCTGCTAATTGTAAAATACCTCAGAATCCTATAAGGTTTACTGAAACAGCAGCATCTTGTGAATATTTCCAGATCACCAATATCAAAGTATTAAGTAATTCCTCAAAAAACTAAATATTTATATTACCTGTCCATCCAAGGCCTGTACTGCACTGGAAGCATCCTCAGTGCTGGTGTAAGTGACAAAGCCAAATCCTCTCGACCTTCCTGTTTCTCGATCCACAATTACTCTTGCTACAGAAAATATACAATTAATCAGCACTTATTACAAAGTCAAAAGCAGCAAACTCACCTGCAATTTTTAGAGGCAATAGTTCATTTCCAAAATAGTTCATACATGGCATCTAAATGTTCACACTACATATGTCTTATATTCAAAAATACAAACCAACACGATATTTTGCATGACAAGCAGAGAATAAGGTTCAAGTGTCTCAAGACATTTCCATCCCCTTCATCATGAAACTTGCAAATTGAATACAGGAATACATTCATAGTAGCATACCTTCAATAACCTCACCATATTTGCTAAAAGCTTCTTTCAGACTTTGGTCATCTGTTTGGTATGAAATACCTGCAATTAAAACCAGAAAAAAAATTACAAGAAGCCCTAAGAAAGATGGGGAAGGGAAACTGTTTGATGCCAAAGTGGAAGAGAAAAATTGAATGCACCTCCAACAAAAAGTTTAGAGCTAGGCGTCGTTGACATGAATCTGAACACTTGAAAGAGGCCTGGTCTTGATGCAGACAACTGAGCATTGATCTGTGTACTTGTGGTCTGCCTAAGTATATTCCCAATTTTACTTAAGAAAGCCATTGTTACAACCTAAGAGAACAAAAAAAATAATAATAATAAAGCTCAGATTCAGCCAATGAAATTGATAAAGTAAAATGACATTAAGCTAGTACCTTTATTTTTAAAAGAACTGATTTTTGGTATAACAATGGATTTAATAACAAAACAGTGGGAAACAACTTAACAAGCTATAACAAAATCTGCAAATTTTAAAGAAAGTGCAAAAAAGGGGCTTACTACAACAATCACTCTTATATTGTAGCAACAAGATTGCTTCTAAAGAAATGCAGAAGGAATTGCCATCAAGTAAAATTAGGATATCAAACATATAACACACAAATAATCAAAATCTGCATGCTATTTTCTGTTATGAACAATAATATAGGGTAAAATTCAAAAACATACCAGCAAAGGAACCCATTTACAAGATTTAAATTTTTTTAATTATTTATGTCTTTATGGCTTTTAAACCCAAAACAAAAACGACCAAAATATTTATTTTCCAAAAAATAACTCTATTTTCTTCAAGCTCAAATGCCACAAAAACAAACAAAGCAACAATAACAACAGTCAACATCAATTTTCAATCATTCCCCAAAAACCCAATCTTTTTTCATTGATCTTAAGCAACCAAACAAAAACAATCAAAGAAAATCATTGCAAACTATACGAAACATCGAAACAGGAATCTGATACTATAAGAAAAATAGAAAAGGAAAAGCTTTAACGACACAGTAACCTAATGAAACCCTTTCAAATGAAAACAAATAAACAGCCAAAAGAGCAGATCAAAATGAAAAATGAAAAAGAGAGTAAGGGAAAAGAAAGTTTAGGGCTTTTTCGAAGCTTACCCTTTTGTTTATGAGATTAAGAATCTAGGACTCCTCTACTTCTTTGAACGCTGCTTTCTAAGGGTAAAACCCTCGGGGTTTATGTAGACGGTGCGGCGTCCAGAATACCGATAATTTCGCTTAATTTTGTGCACGTGTGCATTTTTTATTGGCACGTGTTTTTCGCGTTTGTAACAGCTGGAAAATGTTGGATTTTCCTTTTCTCTCTTTTTTACTGTAATTTAGAATAAAAAAATGTTCTACTTTTATTTTTTCTTTTTAATTTTTATTTTTTGTTTTACTCAAATAAATTCATAACTTAACTTATATTCATGTAAATATTCAAGTAAACCCGGACATTTGACGTGCACGTGGATGCCTACGTGGTATGATAGTTTGATTAAATGGGTTGAATTGGATTAAGATAATTGACCCAAAAAATTAACATCTAATTACCATAATCTTCCAAAAATACTATAAACTTCACCAAAATTCTTACAAATGTTAAATAAAACACTATAAAAATTATAAAAATTTTTACGAATGTCATAAAAAATACTACCACGTTTACCATAATTATTATAAAAGTTATCAAAATATTATCAAAACTAATACAAAAATTATCAGAAGTAATATAAAGATTAAAAAAAATATGAAAGTTCCTAAGAATACTATAAATGTTACAAAAATTACAAAAAAAAAAAACTATAAAAGGATACCAAATTATAAAAGCTATCAAAAACACTACAAAGGTTATCAAAATTCTTAAAAAAGTTGGCAAAGACACTACAAAAGTTACCAAAAACACTCTAAAAGTTAAAATTTTTTTTACAAAAATTATCAATATTCTTACAAAGATTATGTACATACATGAATGCAAATGCTAGGAAAGGAATAAGTCGACTTGTCATGTATCCCTGGACCTCTGGTTAATTAGATTGACAACGGTGCAAGCCTCGGATTCTAAGATTGCCGAGTTTTTCATGACTGCTTTATTATTGGGTGGGATGCAGTGCAGTGATGGTTAGGATGAAAAAATATCGAGAAATTCAAAAATCAATTCAAAAATGTAGAGTTCGATTTTGTTTTTTATTTTTATTTGATTCATATCAAATTTAAATATTAAATATATATATTAAGTTCGGATCGAATTTCGAATCAAAATAATAAAAAAATCAAATTGAATTATATATATATTTTAAATGTTTATAAAATAAAATAATAATTTGATATCAAATTTTACTTAAATATATTAAAATTTTATATTAAAATAATATTTAAAAAATTAAAATTAAAAACCAATAAATTACACTGAATTAAATTAATAAATTTTGATTCAATTTAGATTGAATGAAAGTTTAATTTAGATTCGAATTAATTTTTAAATTTTTATAATATTATATAACTTTTGAAAAAATCAAATAAAATCTGATCCGAAATCATATTACCTTTAGTGATGCCCCATCTAATTGCTCGTATAACCAGATGATGAGCATTTGATCCAGATTAAAGCAGTTGACAAAGAGGCATGTAGGTAGTTTCCATCGGTGAGAAAGGACAGGTACATTGAAATTCGAAGGCATTAATGCGCATGTGCTAAATGAACGTTGTTTGGTGCATCCTGAGGGAGTTTCGTAATTCCAGCCATGACTGCCAGTAGAAGATACCTGATCTCTTATCCAGTTGGTGACTGACCAGTTGTCAAAATCAGGATATTGCTGGTGTTGTCCACTGTGAGCTTAAGAGAAGTCGATGCAGGCAGATTAGATTATGATTCATGTTGATGAGTTTAGCCGGAAAACATATAATTCTCATCTCATGAAAGATCTACTTCTGATGATAAATGTAAACATACTTGAATCTGATTGTAGAACTTATCCTATCAAATTGCCAATGGAGTGAACTGACCTGGACAAACTAATTGTTTTCAACCCACATGGATCCTCTCAACTATTTTATTGAGAAAACAGAAAATACTCTTTCAATTGCCGAGCAGAAAAGTTTTCGAATCACATACAAAGCTCATTTTTTGCATTCAAGTGTCATGCATGGAAATGGGCACGTTGTTTAACACAAATGTCTTTTAGATTTTCCAAACATCCAATGTCTACAACAGAGAACCACAGCAACATTATTGTAAGTTGCATGCATCTCTGCCTTTGACATCCTACTGTCATGTTCCAAAACAGACGTGTCCCCTGTAGCGCAAGTCCAAACCCACCTTTTGTGCTATTATCAACTGATCTGGGCCATCTGGCTGCTTCATGCAGTAATCAGATCTTTCACACACAATGAAACAAGCCATAAGCATACTTTCCTACCAGTTCCAACATCATAGGAACATGAATAATAGCAAGCTGAAGCTAGTTATAGTAAAAAAAAATCACTTTAATGGTAAAAAAAGGTAAAATCAATTTTAATGACAGAAGTGAGGCATTCAATTAGTAAGAACCAAACAGCCTTGATCTATATGCCTAGCAAACAGTAGCTGCGTGAATGTGAAGCTCTAAAGAGTGATAACTCCTATGACAAAAGAACCTATCAAGGTGCAGAAACTTCAAGAAAAAGAACTCCCTTGTCCCCTTAAAATCCAATCTTCTGCAACTTTCAATTATGCTCTAAAGTACCTTTCAAAATACCTCAGATGGATTCAATTTGCTTTCAAGTTTCAAGAGCACCGAGCCTAATGCCACTTAAGTTTGCCTCTTCTCTACTTTTATTCTTCCATGGCATTTTCCATGGACGCTTCTCAAATTGCTAACTAGCTTCCCACCTTAGTACTAAATTTGGTTCTCTTTTTGGTAAACAGATATTCGTTTCATTTCTTTGAAAAATATAATTAGATCCCTCACACAAGCTTTCAACTTCAAACGTAAAGCTCCAAAAGATAGATTAACCGAGTTGACATATAGCTTCCTCAGGACTTCAGCAAAGTCATATAACTTTAATATGAATAGTCAAATCCTATAAGCAAGCACTACAACTTGATCACAAAATAATGAATATAAGAATTGATCATGAATTTAGTGAACGATATTCTATGACATAAGCATGAAATTATTACATTTAAAACATCACAAGATTCAGAGAACATTGTACAATGAAAACATCCAGTAGGAACCTTGTTAAGAAATAAAACAACACACCTAGTGCTATTGACACAGGAAGAGCAGGTAGAGCTTTCTGATAAAATGCCAATAGCATCAATGTAATGCCCAGACCGGCTACAATAGCAAGATAACATGCATACACTGTCATAAAATCATACATTGCTGCCCTACCAACTAACACACTGTAGAAGATAAAGTCCCCCAATCCAAGCTTGATAGCACCAGATGAACCCAACCCCATACCCTCTAGCATCAATCTTTCAGCTGACATACCATCTTGAGCATTCCTTCCATGATCAATTAATGGTGCAGAAAGCTCAGCATCCCTTTCTGAAACCTGCTCCTCCTCCACTCTAGCAATTCTTGTGCCATTATGACTGCTTTGAACGGTGCCAACAGTAGAGTTCGAATCAGAAACAACATTACCATTCAAATTTGAATTATCCTCTGAATCTTGCCTAAAATTGCTCCTTGCTCTCCAAACCCTCCTTTGAACCGTATTATCCCCCAAACCAGAATCATGATGAATAACCGGCCTAGCCTCATAAACCAAAGCCGGGATATCTTCATCCCTAGACATAGCAAGTTCTACAAGAAGCCTTAAAGGTCCAACAGGCAACAAGACCGCGGCAAGATCATACAATGCCATAGCAACCAATAACACCCAAGTAGTCCATTCAGGCAAAAGTGTAAACCAATAAGCAACCAACATTCCAATCAAAATCAAGTACCCTTGAGTCACAAGAATTGCCATTTTGGACATAAACACAGCCAAAACACCAACAACGGCAAAATTAAACAGCAACACCAAAAAGGTAATACAATCAATAGGAACACTAAAATTTTCAATCAAAAACAAGGCAATTTCACCGCCCATAAATCCCAAAACAACAAAAGAAGAAAAAGCCATGTATATTTTCAAGAACTTAGTGCATCTAAGGTAAAAAAGGAGCACCAAAATGAAGGTAACAACGGTGACAACAGCTACAAAAGCTAAAGAATTCAAAAGGGCACCTAGGAATTTGTCCCATGACGAATCTGAGCTGGTTTCTGAGTAAGCCATGGCTGCAATTGATGTTACTGAAGCTGAAGAATTTGAGTCAAGAATTGAGACCAAAAGTACAACTAAAAACATGCAGATTGAAACAGGCACTAGGATTCTGATAATTTCTTCCCCTAATGAATCAAGGAGGGTTTTGGGTCTTTGATTTTGGGCCATTTGGGTGGTCAAATTTGGGATCAAGCTTGAATCTTGGTCGATATTTTTTTTTTGGGAGGGGTTGTTTCAAGTTACTTTAATTAGGGATTTTGATAGGGCTTGTTAACTCTTACAGGTCAAGTTTTTAGTTTTTTTATTTTTTGGGTAAATACACCCTGGGGTGTTAACACCGTTAGTCTTTAGTCTTTAGACACGTGAATGTCACGTGTTTGCTTCTTCTCCATAATTCCTTATTTTTTGTGCAGATTTTCATTTCTAATGTATCCAAAAAGATATGAATGAAGGTAAATGAAAAGGCAAATATATATATATATATCAATATCTGTAATTTATTTTGGATTTTTTGTCACTAAAAAAATAATCGTTTATTAAAATTAACAAATATAATATAAATTTTTTTATTTATTGTGAATAATAATTTGTTGTTTTAGATGATTGTACATATAATGAGTTTTATATTGAACTTTGCATCAAAATTTCAACTAAAATGATCTCAATTGAAGAATTCAGTTGATAGTTTAGATGCATAAATAAATATAGAAAATATAACTCATTGTTGAACTTAGTAGATTCTTGTATGTTTGAGGTTCCATTTTTTTATTTATAATTTTTTCTTTAATTTCTTAAACTGTTGTCTTTTTTATGCAAAAATATATGTATTTCACTGTATTTTTATTTAATAATCTAAAAAGTTTTAATTTAACTTATAAAATTAAAAAAATTATATTTTTAATAAATAAAAAACTAATTTTTATAATATATATGTGTACACACGCGTGTTAATTTGTCAATGAATACACATTAATGAAATCATCCCATAAAAAATTTCTAGAACTTTGATTAATAAAGTACATTATTAGTTTCGAGGAAATAGTTAGTTGAGTCATGGCGCGGAAGGTGGTTAAAAAAGTTGTTATTACTATAGATAAAAAGAGAGAAACAGGTGCCTATGGCCATGCCAGGCCTTATAATTTCCCTCTCAATCCCAGTCGACCGCCATCCGATAATCTCTCTCCCATCTCTCTCTGACTGCAATTCTGTCTGGTTTCTCCAGTTGTCTTGTTTCTTTTTAGCTTTTATTTTTTTTTCATGTTTCTCTGTCATTCCGTTGGTCGATGTGTAATCAAAGAAGGTGCATGTTTGGTGGATGTATCAAAAGTTTTCTTTGGGATTGATTGAAGGTTGTTGGGTTTTATGTAAGTTTCCAATTGGTTTTCCGGATCTCATTAATTTTGTTGTTCTTTTTTCAATTTGATTTGCTTTCCTGCTCTTTTCTTATTGTGATTGGATGTATAAGGAATCATGGCATGTGAATATCATTTCCATAACCCAAAATTTCATCTGCAAGGAAATCGGAAAGTTTTGTTTATTTATAAGTTTTTTTTTTTTTATAAAAGAGGTCGGAACCTGGACATAGAAAAAACCATACAGGTGACAAGATTTGAATTCAAATTTGTTGTACATCATCTTTAAGAATGATTGCATAAATCAATGAATTAAAATTCGGATTTGATTATTTATGAATTTTCATTAATAATTAAACTGTTAATTCATTGGGAAAGTAGTTACGAAGCACCTACACTTGTTGGTGATGCAAAAGAAAGCAATTTTCTTGAATAGGGTATTGCCAGGTTACAATTATAGGTGGGTAGGTAGCCTAAGGTGTCCTGTTTGGCTGTTACAAACTTCGAGGAAAATTTCAAGTTTCTTCCTGTCTAAAATTCTTTTACTACTTGTTCTTCTGCCCCCATCAAAACATATTACAGATTGGAAGTCTGATTCTGTTTCATATTTATACAGCATGAACTCCAGGGTCGTGAGATGGTATAGGAACATGGAATGCATGATGTCTCAAACATTTCAGTTATGGAAGCGGGACATGTGAGTGGAAATGATATTGGCAGTGATTTGAAAACGAATCAAGAAGCTACTCCCAGTGAAGATAATCAAGTTTCTGCGGACAAAAATTCAATATTATCCCCCTCTCATCCATCATCTTAATTCATCTAGTGAAGTCATCTCATCGGGTTCAACTGGAACCAGTACAGTGATTGCAGCCATCAGTACCCTTTTCAGGATAACATACTGAAGAAGAGATTCCGTTTAGCTCTATGCCCAACTGCGGACAATCCGGTGATGGTTCAGCCACACCAACTCCTCCAACACAGGCCACGGAACGACCGGCTGGAGGCTCCCCTTCTGAATCCAGGATTCCATCACATGTCTTTGCTAGGACAACTACTACTGGCCCCACCGAATGGAGTGTTGCTTCCAACGAATCGTTGTTTAGCATTCACATGGAGAACACGAGTTTAAGTAGGGACAGATTAAGTTGGATATCTAAATCTGGGGAGTTTGGCTGCAACAGTGATTCCGCCATTTCTAGTCCATTGGTTGACATTCCAAGTAACCTGACACCAACCAGAAAATCAACAGAAAGTGCCAAGAAAAGTGGTAACTTGAATGATGACGGCCGGTATGGTGTGAGTGAATCAGCAGTAGCGGCTGAAACAATGAGGGAGGTTTTAAGGGAGAAAGAATCTCAGCATATAGACAATGTTGCCAAGGAATCACCTCATTTCAGTAGTATGTCTCAGCATTCAGATGGAAGTGTCAAATCTTTTGCCTTCCCTATGTAAGCTTTATTAATCTCACTTCTCAACCTAAATAACTAAGCAGTTCATCATCATTTCGAATGCTTAATATCATAGTTAGCAACAGACTGATTTGTTCTTTTCGTTTTCTTATAATGAAGATTGACAGGAGATGCAGATAAAAATGGTCCACTCATAAAAAATTCAAAGAATAAAAAACAACTGTCACGGCCCTCCACCCCTGAAACAACTCCACACATTCCTTCGGAAACCGCTAAGACACCGAGCCCTCCGGGAACCCCTAAGCCACAGAGCGCATCGGAAACCCCCAAGTCTCAGACACCTAAAGCAACCCAAAATGGAGGTCCAAGAAGATGGTTCTCTTGCTTCTCCTGTTGCCCATCCCGTTCTTGCACTTGAATGATTCAAAAGGCAAAAGTCTCAGACACTTAAAGCAACCCAAAAAATGGAGTTCCAAGAAGATGGCTCTCTTGTTGCCTATCCTGTTCTTGAGAGACACTGGAAATGGATTCATTGAATGATTCAAAAGGCATCGATGGTTTCAAGCAGCAGGGATTCCCTGTTAGTATATTCTATCTTCCGTGTAGCATTGCAGTTTTTGTTCCCATTGTTGGTTAGTCCACAACTTATTACATGCTACATTGAGCAAAACACATCAAGATTATACCTTTGTCTTAACTGTAAGATGTTTTGAATATTTTTAGCATTGATGGGCCAAATTACAAACAAAAAGTGTTAATGGGGGCCAATGTCAATAATAACTCTAGCCAAAATTTTGTTATGCCGGTACCACAATTAAATGCATTCAAAATTAGGATTTCATTGAATTATTGAACGAATCAATTTAATTCAATGGTTATTAAATTAATTTTAATTTATTATTAAAAATGATTTAAAAATTGATTAAAATTTAAATATAAAATAAATAATATATGAAATAAATAATTTTATTTGGAGAGTTTTTAACTTAAGATTTTAATATTTGAATATTTTATTAGATAATTTTATTTAATTTGTTTCAAATGTGAAAATTAATAATTTAAAATATAATATAATTTAAATGTATCTATTTTTAAGTTAATAAAACATATTAATCAAATCAATCAATTTTAATTCAGTGGTTAATTTTTAAAATTAATATATTTAATTTGATTAACAAAAATAAAACAACATAATTTAATTAATTTAATTTTAAATAATTTAATTCCAAATTAATTGAATTGATAAAATCAATACCTCTCCATATGCTTTTCGTAAGACAGGAATCCTAGTTTAACGTAAACACAAAATTTGAACCTTTCAAGTAGTTTATGACTAATATAAATGAATAAAAATAAGCTTATTCAAGTAAAATGAGCGAGCAAAATAATATTTTTGATAAATATTATAATTTATATATTTATATATATTTATTTCATATTTAATATATATAATATGAAAAATATGTGTATATATCTCAAATATTAAACATAATTTTTTTATTTTTATTGAATTCATAAATAATTTTTTATTAAAAATTTAAACTACGTCGGTTTTTTATATATTTTCATATTATGTACTGTGCAACTCTTTATAAAAATTTAAACTGCGTTTGTTTTAGTGTCAGCTGGATCTAACCTAGCCCGGCCCATTGACACTTGTAATTATGAGTAATAGTTTCTGCTTAGGGGGGTAAAAGAGTAATCAAGGAGATTTTTCCAGCGAGGCAAATAATACTTTTGGCGGCAGCCCACCGAGTTTCAAAAACAGAAGAAAGCCCCAAACGAGAAACACTAACTCCCGCTGAAACGGTGAAAATCCTAGCGGGAAACTTACTTCAAAATACACCAAAACTCCCTCCAAAACCTCCTTCTTAATTCAGCAGCGACATTTACCAGAGACCAAACACACTAAAAAAAAGTGGCAGAAATGGCGAAATCTGTGAGTGAAGATGCGATATCGATGATATTGACGAACCCATCTCCGGATTCTTCCTCAGATCTTCCTGAGATCATCGTCCAGGTCTTGGATCTCAAGCTCACCGGCAACCGTTACACGTATGCCTCTTTATATCCTTCAATCTATTCTTTTTTTCTTGTTACTTTTTTTTTTTTTTTTAATTATTTTGCTCCATTAATAGCCAAACAAATTCTGGGTTTTGGGTCTCTGAGTTCAGCTTGCTAATGACTACCTTGACTTTTATTGCTTTCTTTCTTTCTTCTTTCCCTCCCTGACACGCTGTCACTAACTTACCTCATGAGTTTATGTTTTTCTTTTTCCGTTGTTATCCTTGGGTTTGTTCGGCAACAAACAGAATACCAATGACAGATTTTTGTTTAAAGAAATAATTATAGATGTTTCTTTTGAAAACGTAATGACTGATTATTGCTTTGGTTAATCTGGGATTGAAGGTTTAATGCAAGCGATGGGAAGATGAAAGTGAGAGCGATCTTTCCATCAAACATGTCGCCTGAGATCATGTCAGGCAGTATCCAGAACAAGGGTCTTGTCAGAATTCTCGATTATACCCTCAATGACATCCCCAACAAATCAGAAAAGTAACTACTAATTACCCCTTACCGTTTTTTTTTTTTTTTTTTGGTTTCTTAAACTTGATGTTCTAATTTGGCAATGGGTTTCAGGTATTTAATTGTAACAAAATGTGAGGCATTATCCTCTGCACTTGAGACAGAAATTAAAGCTGAAGTCAAAACCGAGGAATCTGACATTGTATTAAAGAAACCAAAGCTCGAAAATGAGATAAAGAATGAAGCTAAAACAGAAGGGGCTGGTATTATTTTGAAGCCAAAGCAAGAAATGGTTTCCAAATCTGCTGCTCAAATAGTACATGAACAGCGAGAAAAGTAAGTTTCCTTTTTTTTTACCTTTTAAAGTTCAATATACATTGTTACAGCATTCAAGAGTTGGTTGTTTTCTTTCTTAATGTTTTTGCATTATTCTCAAATTTTCAGTATGGCTCCATTGGCACGGATGGCAATGACTAGAAGAGTGCATCCCCTTGTTTCATTGAATCCTTACCAAGGGAATTGGACAATTAAAGTTCGTCTCACAAGCAAGGGAAACATGCGTACCTATAAGAATGCTAGAGGAGAAGGTTGTGTTTTCAATGTGGAGTTAACAGATGAAGATGTAAGCTACTATAGTCTGTGTTTTTCTTACACTTGCGTATGAAGAAACCCTTTTCACTTGTACAAAAATGGGTTTTAGTTGATTGAATGATTGACATTTTGTAGGGTACACAAATACAAGCCACAATGTTTAATGAAGCTGCCAAGAAGTTCTATGAAAAGTTTCAACTGGGGAAGGTCTATTACATATCAAAAGGGACACTCAGAGTTGCAAACAAGCACTTTAAGACTGTGCAAAATGATTATGAAATGACATTGAATGAGAATTCTGTGGCGGAAGAGGCTGCTAATGAAGAAACATTCATTCCAGAAACAAAATTCAACTTTGTTCCCATTGATCAGTTAGGTCATTACGTTAATGGACGGGAACTTGCTGGTAAGAACTCTTTCATAGGAATTTACATACACGTGTATTTTAGTTTTTTTTTTTTTTGGGGGGTGCTTTACATGCTTGCTTGGTGTTGCTTTTATTGCATTGAATTCCAGATATTATTGGAGTCGTTCAAAGTGTTACTTCTGTATCAAATATTAAAAGGAAGATTGACAATGAGAATATTCCAAAGCGGGATATGACTGTTGCAGATGAAACGTGAGTGTCTACTTGTTCACTGCAGTATTTTTATAATTATGATTTATTGAAGCCATGCGTTTGTGGATGCCAGGAAGAAGACGGTGGTGGTTTCTTTGTGGAATGATCTTGCAAATAATGTAGGCCAGGAATTGTTTGATATTGCTGATAAATCCCCTATAGTTGCAATTAAATCACTCAAAGTTAGTGATTTTCAAGGTACTCTAAAGTTGGAGCATGTGTTTTGACAGAGAATAAACTATAAATCTTACAATAAAAATAGTTATCCTGAAATACTGGCGTTGATATTTCAGGTGTATCTTTGTCAACATTGGGCAAAAGCATAGTGCTGATTAATCCGGATATGCCAGAAGCAAAGAAGTTGAGATCTTGGTGAGCTATTGTTGCTGAGAAACTAATGGTTTATTCCCTTTCAAGTAGCATTTTCAGATACAAGTGCATTTCCATGCAGGTATGATTCTGAAGGGAAAGGGAGTTCCATGGCCTCTATTGGCTTGGGTTTGAGTCCCTCATCCAAGACTGGAGCAAGATCTATGTATACTGATAGGGTTTCTCTTTCTCATATTACTGGCAACCCATCTTTGGGAGGCGACAAGGTATTGCTTTTAGTTTTTATTTAATGCAAAAGAAGCATCTTTGAATTAAGTTGCTTGAATAACTACAAAGATTTTTTTATTTCTCCTTGGACTTGGCTGTGTGGATTGTAGTATTCTATTGTTTATTTTAAAACTATTTGAGAAAAGCAATATAAATGATTGGTGTGTTATAATCTGTAAAAGATGCAAGGCGGTTGGACATGCCATTGCTGTTGTGTTTTGATAATAATAGTATCATGTTTCATGGATGACTGCAGTTCCTTCAAATTGAAAATAACTTCAGTCGTGATAATTAAATGTCTTCCTTGCGCAGCCTGCATTTTTCAGCACTAAAGCATTTGTCAGCTTGATCAGGCCTGAGCAGGCAATGTGGTACCGTGCTTGCAAAACTTGCAACAAAAAAGTAACTGAAGCTGTTGGATCTGGCTACTGGTGCGAAGGATGCCAAAAAAACGATGAAGAGTGTAGTTTAAGGTGAGAGATGTTGGAAATTATAAATTAAATGTTCTATACATTTCACAAGTTAGTTAGCTGGCATATTTCTAATGTATTTTGGGCATTTATTAGATATATAATGGTGTCAAAGATCTCTGATGCAAGTGGTGAAGCCTGGGTTTCAGCCTTCAATGAAGAAGCAGAGAAAATTGTTGGATGCTCTGCTGATGAACTTGATAAACTAAAGTCAGAGGTAAAGTATTGCTCTGCTGATAAGTTTGATGTACATGCACATGTATATAAGATGTAGAATATTTCTCACCGCCACACATAATATTGCCATTTTCAGGCAGGAGAAATTAACGCATACCAACAAAAGTTGCAGGAAGCTACTTGGGTTCCTCATCTTTTCCGAGTCAGTGTTACTCAGAATGAGTATAACAATGAGAAGCGGCAAAGGATAACTGTCAGGGCTGTTGCTCCAATTGACTTTGCTGAGGAATCCAGATTTTTACTTGAAGAGATCAAGAAAATGAGAAATTCTCAGTAGTTTATTCTGTTCTTGGATTAGGATTTCAGTTTTTGTTTGTAAATAACGGATTAAAGGGCTATAATATAACCTGTTTAGATTGTGACTTCATTCTAACATAT